AATAGGGTGTAGAACGCACATCCTGAATTCCAATGCTAATTGCTTTCAATCAAAATAACAAGTTAAAATTGATTTGTCAGGTAAAGTGAAGGCTAGTAACCATTACCTGTTGAAGTCTCATTACGATAGCCATTGCTAAACGCAAAGGTACTTTGTTATTTGATTTTCAGGTATTACACAGCACTTTGAACTGTCCACTCAGTTCCTTGTCGATATATTGCTAGCTCAAGTGTCAATGCTTTGAAAGAAAGGCTTTCGAGAAATCAAATTTAAGTGATCTAAAGACTGGATAGCCGTTTTGCACATTTAGGGGATGAAACTCATCAACGATATACCTAGTGTGCTGATAATATGAGTGGTATTCAAAGGCTAATATCAGTCAATCGACACTATATAGTATCCTGCAGTTATGCTTGTTCTCCTAACTGATATTTATGCTGTCGAGCAGATCATACACGCTTTGTAACCTGAATAATTTCGGTTTCAAAAGGAAACTGTGATGAAATTCCACCTCGAAATCTGTAAATTGTAAAATAGTGGGTGAATCTGAAGACTGCGAATTTTATCCAACTCATAGAAGTCTGTTACTCAGATGAATCTGCAGTCAAGAGAAATATTTAACGCAGATGAGATTCATCAACTAATCAACAATAAGTCACATGACAAAAATTCAAACTCCAGTCGAGTGAAATGATCAATACTAATGTGAAATGACAACCAATCACAAGCAAGATCGTCAGGATAAACAATTCATGATGAATTCCAATCAATTTACTTGATAATAGAGCCTGTGATGAAGAGGTTGTCTAGATGGTCTGAGAAAACTTCTAGAATAAACCATTCATTTCAGAGAATACAATTACACCAACACACAGATGCCATTATTCCAAGAATTAATTTATGTTTAGAATTCTGTTATGATGTGGTGTAATAAACATGGTAGTCTGTGTGCGACTAAAAGGAGCCGACAAAAACAGACTGCTTTTATTCTGCTGCGGTGTTTTTACGCTCTTCTTAAGTCTAAGAAGCGGAATATGTGAGTAAAATCGACTGAAATTAACCGATATGCTACTTGGTTATTCAGATACATTATTATAAGATGTTTCTAAATACCAGGTCATCTAGTGACGACATCCTATCAGAACTCCCCGCAACTTCATCCCAGAGCCAACGACTAATCAGCTTTATACTAATTTTCAAGTGGTGGCTTGCAAGAATTTGATTGGTTTCAAGTATGGTTGCCTGTGGAGTCCATCAAGTCGGGTGTGAATAAAATACTCACCGATGACAATGAATGTCGGTGGGTGTGTGAGTATTGTAAATCAGCAAAATTTACAATTTATAAGCTATTGGTCCCCATCCGAGTGGCTGAAACATCAACGGGCACGACTCGTTACCTGAAGATTCTGCATTTAGTCTCTGAAGGTATGCTCATGGGTGCATACTGCAGTTTAGTACACCTTAGTTTTCAAAGTTTCTCTGAATGAAATCATTTTGTTATGTAAACTGAGATCGATCAATACCCCCTGCAAACCAACACTTGAAAAAGTGAATAGCTAGACAGTTAAAATATTGACTTATTGTGCTGAAACATGCCTTAATCTTTTATGTGTAAGATAATTTAAAAATTTTCTGATATTTACATTAACTAATAAAAGCAATAAGGAGTCTACAAGACTTAAATACGTCTACTATTATTATTATTAATAATGTCATTATTATTTTTATCATAGACCATCAAATGATCTCTAATTGTGCGTCATTTGAAGAGAAATGCAGCTGACAAGGCTTGAGCATTACGTTGTCTGGTATTTTACATTCACCCTACCAACAAATTCTCATTTTAAAATGCTTGATCACATGTAGGGAGGCATTATTTTGTAAAAAACTGAAATGACTGTAAATTGACACAACAATTACACGATGTTAATCGACAGAATTTCTCACAAATCACTATAGGCAGTAAAACATTTTATCTAAAAACAACATGACTATTGAGAGAGTAGCAGTTTTTGATAACTTCTTCCTCACACTCTGCAGTAATACATCCATGAATAATATTAGAATACAAACAGCCCGTGAAGGAGAATGAAAATTACATCAGTCAGAGACTGTATCCAGATTCATGTGTAAGATGGAATGATACGCCATTCAATAATTAACATTGTCGACTAAATGCTTATAAGGTATACAATCAATCAATCGAAATTAGATAAAATGTGACCAGACAACTGGGCGACACAATAATGTGAAATTAATTAGCATTTATCACCAGCTTACATCATTTAGAGAATCATTGAAAACCAATTATAGAACCGGGTAGTTTTTAGAGGTTATGAGGCCAGTCGCCTGGCTGACCGTTTACTGAATGTGTAGAATCCAATGATCTGCGAATTCTAACCGCTAAATAATTCTGAATGAATCTTCCTTAGATACCGAGTGACCAGTTTTAAATATATGTTCAGTTATAGTACACCGTATAGACCTATCTTGACCTCTCCATAGCTATGTGGTGTAATGTTCTCTGACTTTTCTAGATAAAATTAACACATTTTGAAGCACTGGTATCTTTTGCTCCATACGAACATGCGAATTAGTAGATATTCATAGAAGAGATCAAAACGCGCGTTTGACGACTTTGTTTATCGTGTATCTACCTATTCACTTGTTCTTGTTGGGTAAGATATAAAGGTCATTCAAGGAACATCATCTCACATAGCTACAGAGAAGATACAACAGATTAATGTAGAGGGATACAAGTGAACACATTTAATTCTAATTTATGTTATTTTGTGTAACAGCTCCCTTTCCCATGTAAATTAGGACGAGATAGAGATGTCCAGTGTTCTCTGGTAATGCATGATTCTCTAATTGACGCCAATTGGTGATGAAACTTACAGTGAAACTCCTCAAATCACTACAAATTAATTCCATTTGCTTCTTACTTGATACCGCCTTTCTGTATTCAATATAGTTCAAAACTGGGTGTCACGATGCTTATATTCTCATTGAATGGTCAGGAATTTAGATATTTAAAGTGTAAAAAATATCCAAGCACATTTACACTTCAACCTGTTCTCCACATTCGTGTTTAGCCGGTTCCACATCTGCTCACAAGGTCTCATCTCTTCCTCTTACGATCTCCTCCATGTCGCTCACAGATACCCAGCTCGTCGTTACCACGTTCAGCTCACTCCGTCTCTAGCCTTGAGCAAACACAATCCAGCTAGCTCGCCTACCTGAATCACTTATAATAACTGTCACCATTGATAAAATCAGTGTTAAACTAGTGTTTAGAAAATAGATTTGAAGGAGAATGAGTGTTAGTTAAACTGGTGAACTGATTTTATCAGTAATACTATCGGATGAACCAGTAAAGTAGTGGTTATCCCAGAATCTGATTAGGAGGGGAACACACCTAATTGTCTTGCTATGCAGGAAGACCAACAGAAGATTTTAAGGAAGCGAAATGAGCAGTGAGGCTGTATCTCTGAATATGCTCAGCGTTAACAATTGGTTTCATTCTAGAAATGTAAGTGAGTACAATTTAGTGACCAGAACTATTAGTAGTTTGAAATAATCCCACTCTATGAACCAATTCATCTCCGATGCACAAGTAAATAAAGTGACTGTCTTGTGTTTAGACCGTCTCTACTTCGACAGAGGGAACAACTGATTAGTGGAATTGGTTTAATTCCACACTGGACTGTCTGAGACAGAAGTTCATACATCAACACAGGCTGAATAATTTCCATCACTAGCAAATAACAGCGAAAAAGACAGCATCGTTCAGAAAAGAGTCATTTCCAACGGCTTCATCTTCAAGCTGTACAGTCGTATTCATATTACAGGAAAAGGCGTTGAGTAGCACTGAGAATTGCTCAGCCAATGTAGACATATGATAAGAATAAAGACAACCAATATGATTTTTGAGGAGGTAGAGTTAAATTCTTAAAGTAAGTCAAGTGGTGCCGTGATGGAGGCGAAGAAGGGATATTTTTTTAAAGTTTTTGAATACATAGCTTGGGTTTTTGTCTATGTACAGCTAGAACTTCGGCGTTATGTAAGTGAATGAAATGTGAACCTTCACAGGGGCTGAATTAAGCCCTTTAGACAACTTTAGGGGATAAATCGCATGAGTTTGAATGACCTGGCTCGAGAAGGCGCTGACATACAGAAGTCTTCACCATCTTGTGTTTGTCTTTCCTCACTCGAACCGGGAAACGTTCAGATATTTGTTTCAGGGGGAAACGCTTACAACGTCAAAGTTAACCAGATGCACAGGAGAAGTAGGATTTGACACACTACTAGCTGAAAAACCACTCATATCAACCTGTAGTGTTTCTCAGCCAAATTGAAGCAATTAAGGAACCCAGACAGCCGTTTCATTCGTTCATGATTGGAATCTTCATCCTTGTAAACAGAATAAAGTTGGTCAGAAATCGGACTGTTTTAAATGTTCTTAGACTCAGATCAGATGCTTAAACCAGCTGATAACGCATAGAATCATACTGGTCACTTGAAAAGACGCTTTTCCCTAAGTCTTTTACAAAATGCTATTGTCAGATTCATCCTTAGTGGTTGCTTTGATCTTCTGATATTAATTTTGAATATTATATTCATGCCTATGATCACTAACACATAATTTTGATCTCTACAACTTGACAATATTAAAAAAGAATAAGAAGGTTGTTTGTCAGTAACAATTACTCTTTAACTATTGAATGCATATAACATAGTTGTAGGACAGGATGAGGAAGTTCATTGTAAAGAATTTTCTTTGCCTAATCTCTTGTTTTATTTTGTCTTCTAAATGTCTAACTGGGAATTTTCGCCATATTAGTCTTGTTTCAACCTAATTCATTACCCCGTTTTCTCATTTGTGGAGGCCAGCAAAAAAATGAATGAATTGTAAATAAAATCAAGTCGTACAGATTTTCTTTTCTTTTTTTTAATTTTTTGGCATATTTCACTTTGTTTTTTCTCCTGCAAAACAAAAGGCATTCCTTGTTAAAGCATTTAGCGACGACTGTGAACATAAAATATGCCCTCAACACTCTCATTGTTTGAAAACATTGGATGGAAATTTCACATGTGTCTGTAATTATCTATTTGCACCTGAAGATCTTGACCCAAAAGTTCCACTTGAATGTCGTTGTAAGTTAATCTCGTGTGAATCGACAATATTTGACTATAATATATACCTATGTAATTTTTTTTAAATTGCTTTCCATTCTCATAAGTCCCGGATAAAATCCCACTATACTTTGACTCGACATTCTTTTAAGATATACCAGAAACAACGGGTAAAGTCACTTTTAACCAAAGGAATATTGGTGTTGTTATGTTCTCCGAGCTGAAGATGGTTTAGTTGTGAAGCTTTCATCATCTTTCTGGACACAATACCTGCAGCGCAAACTTCAATAATTAACTTGTCTGGAGAGCTTCTCAAACAGGCCATCTAGCTCAGAGGATACAACTGCACCAATATCATCCACATGAGCTACGAAACATTTCTATCATATCTAAATTTAAAAAATCATACGAGTCATGCCATTTCTCTACTTGTGGTGACCAGAAAGCTTCTGAGTATTTAAACAAAATGATAGAACTTTAAGTCGAATGGTTCTCATAAATGTTTGAGCAACAGACTATCGGAGCTATTTCAGCTTCTTCCATTATTTCCTGTCTGTGTATGCCTTGAATACAAGTCTATTTTCTTGATTTATTTCTACTGTTCAGTAAGGCCATTTTCACTAGTACAGACTTATACTTTCGGGTGAAAACAGATTGTTATGCATTTCCATAAAGATTTCAAAGTAATTAATGACGATCATGGTTTCCCAATTCAACGTTGATTGGGTTTGATATTGCCATCCATGCTACCTATAACTGAAAAGATTCAACTCAGATACGTGAAGGAGACATGACTTCACTTGGATTTCTTCCACTGTTGACGATTTGTGCTTGTTGTTGTTGGTGGTGGTAGGCCATCTGCATTATTCTTGTCCTCACTATTTTCATCCGATGTGCTGTCTTCTCTGCATTAATTAAAACAAACTTTTAGCACTATCCCCAAGTCCACAGAAATTTCTGTTTAAGTAATGGAAAAATAAAAATTCCCCTTTGATTAAATATCACTCAACGCATTTCACAGATATTTTCGAGAATTCGGGAGGCTAGTTGAGTGATGTCGTTCGGAAGAAGTTTAATGGACATATAAACGAAAAGCAGTGTTCAATAATACAATGGTAAATATCTAACAAGCATATGTGAAATTGTTCTGTGTAAGCGTATAACATGAATACGTGAATTAGTCTTATAAGCTTACAGTTAGGCTCAATATACGGGTGCTACAAGTTCATGACATCCTAGCCAGCACTTTTTCACAAAACATTACATCGTAATATACCCGGTTTTCTGTTCAAGCTTTATGCCAAGTAGTAATCTAGAGTTTACAAACATTCCGCCTTAATATATTCATATACATGATTTGCTTTTAATCTCTCTGTTGTTACTCTTTCATTTCTAGTCAGTTATGTCAGCTTAACACTGACTCTGGTCTTCACATTATTGAGTCTAACCTGTATTACATGGATAATAGTCGCAATATGTAAAGCATATCAACAGAGAAGACAGTATGAAGATGTTGGATGCACACAATACCACGATGAATTGCGACCATCAAGATCACCTTCTGTGAACAGCCGAGAATCAATCAGAAGCTCATCAACGAGACGATGAGAGTAGAGGAATACAAACTCACCAGTAATTAATACTAATTTACTGCCAAACAATAGTAATCTTTTTTCTATTGCAAATCAACATTGATTCGGTTGCATTATTCAGGCTTCATCATTAACTTGTATCAAGTAGAACTTATGAAAATAAAAGTTTCAGAGACATACAATCGATGTTATCCAATAATAAAGTCTAATGGTGTTTCTTTTGTATATCTTTCACGAATATACGTCTACCATCCATTTTCCTCGCTACACTGATATTGGTGTTCACAATATTCAATTTCTATGACGAATATTTACTTTAATAATGTTTGTGTTCTCATGTTGTTGTTAACCCTTCATTTTCTAAGTTCTCACTGAACGACAAGGGTCTCAAGTTTTGAATATTTGAAGGATTGGGTTACCAATCTCATGACAAATCCCCATCTTTTCCTGGACTACTACTGTCTGAACGATGTATGAGAGTCTTCTGGCCACGAATCCAACCCGCAACTCTCCCGTTCTTGGCATTCATTCCACCGAGGAAACCATTGATGCACACAGGATCGAAGAAAAACTCGATATTCGCAGTTGGTCTTTTCTTCAAGTACTAACCGAACTGATAGATGTTTAGCTTTGATGATTGGATGAGAGTCAATGTGTTCTATGTGGTATAGTTGGTGACAAATCATGTGTCTGCCACATCGATAGCTTCCTCAGCGTTTGCCAGATTAATCTCCATTTCCTTCTTCATATTTATTGAGATATAGGTTCTTGGTTAGTTTGTGCCTGATTTTCTTCCTACCGAGTCTTTGTAGCCATTTGATCTTCAACATAGAGCGAAGCCACCGGTTGATAAAAGGTCGGAGTGGCCTGAGTTTCTAACCCATACAAAAAATATCTACACACTGCTGTTCGAAATCTGAATCTTTTCCTTTATGTTGAGCGCAGAGTATTTTCAAACTAATTTTGGAGTGCTGAAAGTGTCTGTTTTGCCTTTCCAATCTTCGTCCGTTCCGTCTGTGGTTTAAATGACGGTTCCTAGATAATTCGAGGAAAAATCTCCTTCATATACCCCCGTTGTTAGTGCTGCTTGTTGTTGTTGATTGGTTGGTTATCTTCATCATCTCCTTGCTTCTCTATGTTTACCTGGAGTCAATTCTTCACTGCCTGTTGCTTCGGCTAGTCCGTTGGTTTTCGCCTGCCTTTATGTCTTCGAGTTTGTGTCACATTAGACATGAATCATCTGCGGAATCCATATTTTCTACGGTTTCCTACTACATCCAGCGTATGCCCATCCTCTTGCTCCCCGCAATTTTGCACAGTCATTTCCATCACAATTAAGAATATAACTGATGACAATGAACAATCTTGTATTACTTTCGTATTCATTTCGAACGCTTCGCCAGGTTTTCCGTTGTGGAACACCTCACACGCCAGTTTCATATAGCCAGCTGTGGAATGCGGTTGACAAAGACCTGTGGTGCTGCACGCCATATTGTTGAAGTACTTTTCGAATTACTTCTTGGTCAACGTTGTTGAAGGCGTCTCCGAAGTTGATGAAGTCGAGGTACAGATTCGACTACGATTATCTGCTTTGTCCAATGACTATGTGAGGACTTGCCGTCTGATCAGCATATTATTTTCCTTCGTTGAATCCGGCTTGTTTCGGTTGGGCTGGTGGACTACTTCGTCCGATTCATCTTTTATTCTCTACAAGATGAAGTGACTTAGCATTTTACTTGGTGTGGGCAGCAGAATCATCCTATGCCAGTTGTTGCAAAGGAAGGTGTAAGTGTTTTGATGTCACCATCCAGGCATGTTATCCATTACTGTTTGCAACTTTCTACAGAAATCTTCCCTCTCCTCTTCATCTGACTTGTTTGTTGGCCAGTGGCACTGGATATTTGCAACCTCCCTGTTTTGCCTTTGAGTTGAATCTTTCTGTCATTGTCCTGCTGGAGGACGCTGGTTCTCACTGCACAAGAGGTATGTCTGTTGTTGATGGAATGATGACAGCCACTCACTGCCTCAGTGTGCTCGTGGTTGTCGTCTGGGTGACCAGACCGGAGTAGATTACTGATTCTGTAGTTGACAATTTGGAGTCCACTTCCATTTCACCTGCTCTCACAGGTTCGTGGCACTTCTATATCGTATCTTCTGTTTTCTCTGACTACCTAAACAGCCTTCCCAGCTTCGTACATTGTGTAAACATTTCACGTCCCTATTTTTGTTTTTGCTTTCATTGGAAGAGGGCACATCGTTTGGATGGCTCCTCTAAGACTCCTACCGGTCGACCTCTTTTAGTTTCTCTATTTTTGGCTAATAATAAGGTGTTTTCTCCATATTTTTGGTAATCTTAATATTTATCTTGTGCACTGGAATTTTGCAGCTGCTTGATTGGTTTCCAAGTGTAGAATCGCTTGCTCTACTCCCAATGGTTACTCTTTTCGCAGGATTTTGACTGGCTAGAAAACCAGTAAGCTAGTAACCTGGGCGAGTTCTAAAAATATGGAAAGATTACCGATTTCACCTGTGATATTTGAATCTTCCATGTATCGTTTTGATTTCAATGTATGTATCACAGAAGTAGGTTGGCTGATAATAACTTACAGATGGTTTTGTAGTGGTAAGTAATTCCCCAAAATTATTGACCACAGCACTCATCACTTAACATTGGATGATGAACCTCACTGTTTAAGTCAACTTGTTAAGCTGAAGGCTTCCGATCAAGCATTCACACCATCTGGTACTCAGTCATGTCACGTTCATGCACGATCCCCAGCCTAACATATTTATTTTCGAATATTAAATAAAAATTGTCTATTTGCGGAAGCGAATGGACATGTGTGCATTGTGCCAAATGGTAGTAAAGTAAACGGTAAAGAAAAGTGCTCCTATATGGTAATAAATTTACATAATCACTGGTTCAATTTCTTTCTGCGTCTGAGTCCATACGTTCCACGTATGTAAGTATCGTAGAGCCTTTAATGGTTGAGATGCAGAGGTTTGAAATATCGAAGGAGGGGAAATAATTTCTGCGAAGGTATTTTGCAGAGAGTTGCCTGATCATCCCTCGATAAGAGATTACAACAGGAATTTGCATGATTCTTTGAATTGTATGTCCCATTGTAGACAGCAACCATCGTTGAAGCTCCATATTTTGACATCTCCGACGCATGGCTGATGTAAATGTAGGCGTCGTTGCAGGTTGTTAGGTCGAGAATGTATGCCACACCGTCTGACAGGATAATCAGATCTGGGTGACAGAAAGACGTGGGCGTTGGAACACGCGGCTCGATGTAAAATCTGGTATTGAATTTGCGTAGTTTGTTGGCGATCAGCTTGAGGACGCTGTTGTGTCTCTTGCATCTGACCTCATGAGTGAGAGCGCAATGCTGAAGAAAATGCCGAAGATTTTCTGGTTGACCACACCCGCCTCTGCAGTTGATGGCAACTCTAGGACGTCCGCGCGCATGTCTTGTTTTGTGCCCAAAAGTCCTCCACGCAGTTGAACAGCTCGTACATAGAGTTTGGACAAGACCATTTCAGGGTTGACAAGCCAATTGTGAGATTCAGGGCATGTTGCTGATTCCGTCAAACCATAACCATCCGCTGATGGGTGTAGCTGTTGTGCCCAGCTTTCATGTGCTTCTTCTACTGATGTTACCATTTGTCTGTGGGCTTGCATTGGAAGATTGCAGAAAAGGCGTGAAGGTGGCGGAGGACGCTATGCTGCGCATGAGCGGATTCCTATTGTTGAGCAGTGCCTCGATTCTCTTGCGCCTATGACTCAGAATCGTCGTTGAGAGATTCACGATTCCTAGGCCTTCCTTTTTGATATCACCGTGGAAAAGCGCAGTTGGAGTGTCCTTCGAGAGGTGAAGCCAGCCGCACGAATAAGTTTGTCCATCGTTTTCAGAGTATACTTGTGACTGATGCTGAAAGTCAGTGAGTAGAGTAGACGAGGAATCAGATTGTTCTTCAGGATCCTAATCCGCTGATGAGGTTTGAGGGGGGCGCGTTTCACATTGTCTCAGTATCCACTGAGAACGCCCACATGATAGAAGCAGCGCCTGCCTTTGTAATTGAAGGGAACACTCAGATAGGTAAACTCCTCTGTTGACGAGATGGCTGGAATTGACTGGCATTTGATATTGGAGATAGTTGGCGAAAGAGCCATGATTTTACGCGACTATGCTGATTGTGCGGCTTTTGTTGACATTGATTGATAATCCCGCAAGTTCCAGCGAGGCGTCGATACAGCTGTGTTTGTTTTGAAGAGCCGCAGTGTTTGGAGCTAGGATGATGAAATCAGCATATGCTATGTAGTGCAAAGAATGACCATCAACGTAGATGGGGTCATGGGCTTCCAGAACATTGAGTATCTCATCTATAGTCATGATGAAGAGAAGCGGTGACAGAAGGTCACCCTGTTTGACCCCCCGTATTGGATGACACTTCACTTCGTGGAAGAGACTTTCGGAGTTGGAGTAGTAGTTTGTAAGATATTCTCTAAGCATTGGGGGCGCACCAAAACTTTTAGCCACCCTTAAAATTGTTTGATGTAGGACGCTTTCGAAAGCTTTGGAAATGTCGAGAATAGCTAATGCGGTACTTGTGCAGTTGGAGTGTGCTTCTCCCAAGATGGCGTGAAGAAGATTGGTCGCTTTGAAGCAGCCACCACGTTGCAAGGAGGCAAACTGTAGTTTTTCCATTGGGAATGATCTGGACCAACACTTGGCAATAATCTTGGTCAGACAGCGCATAATGACAGAAGTTATGGAGATAGGCCAGAAGTCGGTAGGCTTATCGGGGTGTGATGTCTTAGGAATGAAGGTGACCGTGGAAGCTGACAGAGGTGAAGGTAGAAAGGTTGTCAGCGCAAGAGTGTTTAGATACCCAGCCAGACTAGTGTGGTTGATTTTCTGGAGGTCCCTAGAGGTTATGCGGTCGACACTGGCAGCGGATTTGACCATTTCCTTTAGTGCCCATTTGATCACTTTAGTTGAAACTGGGGCGATCAGGTCGTTATTAGTTAGGTATTACGGGACCGGTATAGAGTCTGGTAGGGCTGGGCATGTGAAGATTTTCATCCAAAATTAATTGAAGCCTCCTATAGCGGAAGGCAGACATGTAAACGGGTCTCTCCATCTGCCATCAAGTACTGTGTTCGCAGCATCTTTTGGCGAGCGGTGGAAGAGCGTTTGCATGTGGGCATATAAAATGCGACGCCTTTTCTTGTTGTTTAAGTTTGGTGGGAGACCGGAGACGTATCACTGCTTGGATGGTTTCCATCTTGTAGGGAACAGCTGTTGGGCCTGCTTATCCAGAAGTTGACGTGTCTCCTCAGGAGTAATATCATTCGCATATAGTTGCAGAATAATTTGTCGAGTGCATTCAGTGTCCAGCCGCTGAGATGAATTTGCCAGTTGTGTGTTGATGGCAGCCAGGAGGTTACCACGTATATTATCCATGTGAAGACTTCCGTGGAGTGTCATATTCACTAACCACCATGAGTGAGTCGATTAGTTGGCATAATTTGTCGTTGAGCTTCGTGTTCAAAGTTTGGAGTGGGTCATGGGGTTCGGTTGAGCGAGAAAGCGTTGACAGTATAAGTTGGGACTGATTCGTCAATATCAATCCTTTCCAGAAGTGGTCGGATCATTGACACAGCAGTGGGAGAAAACCAAATTTTTCTATTGACAGTACTTATTGCATAGTGTTACTGCGGTATTTGCATTGATTGGGTGGATTCATCGAATACGGTGTAATCATTGATGATGACAAATTGGAGGGCTCGCTGTTCCTTCAGCTGAGTCGGCGTACAGGAATTCGATGAGATTGTGACAGTTGGAGTTGAAGTCGTGCTGCATGGACTTGTAGGAGCAGAGATTGATCTATTGACGGTGAACACATCAGTGATTGAGGTACTTGACTCAATTTGGCGATAAGACGTAGTTGAAGTGAAGACTATTGTCGGTAGAGATGGGTTAAGTGTACGTCTCCATTTTAGCTTGGGTAGACGCTTACTTACTGCACCGGCGCTGCGGTTGCCAATAGTTTCAGTGACAAGAGCGAAGAACTGTTTAGGCGCAAGTGAAGGGGAATCGAGACATCTGGCAGTTGAGACCAATCGAGCGTCTTCTTGAGCGTACCAGGTTTGAAGTCTTGGACGTCTATACAGTGCTGATCTAGTAGCATAGCTTTCATGTGATGATGAAGGTGAGGATGGAGTCAAATAGGAGCCAATGGTTAATGGAGGGCCTGACGATGATGGGACAAATGTTATCCATTTGAGTGTTCGCAGACGGCGTTTGACGGCTTCAAACAAGCGATTTGGCAGACGGTCGTGTAGGTGTTGATACAGTTCAGCTTTGCTGTTGAATCGGTAGACTGCTGCGTCTGCTAACATCAGTAGGGTGAGTTCTTCATTTCGGGACCAATTTCGTCGTGTTCGACGGTCGTTGAGAAGGCAACCGAGAAGGACCTCATTGTATTCGGCAGGGTGGATTTGGGGCAGATGTTGAGAAAAACTTCTCGTGGAAGCGAAGTTTGAAGGAGAGTATATACACAGGAATCTTGGAGACACGATTGACGACAGGAGTTGATTGAACCGCGTGGAGCAAGGTGATGATGGATTGGATGTGATGGGGGAAGAATGGGAGATGAAGAAAGGAAACCGGGAGACTGTTGTTTGAGGGTCAGCTTGAACCAGGGCAGAGGCCATGGATTGTGATGAGGGTTGGTTTGACATAGCTGACATGACTGGAGAATGCAGTATCGCAGGCTCGAGTGTGAAGGACAACCTAAGATGGATTGTTAGTTGTGCCACGGACCGTTCATAGGCCCTGACCCATGGCTTGACAAATGGTCAAACCAAAATAAACAAAACAAAAATAAAATAAAAAACAAACGAAAAAAGTGCTGTTATAAAAGATTCCACGTGATCACATTGGGATTGCAGCAGAAAATAAAGCCGTAAATGAGTAAGGAGAAGGATGTTATATGAAAGAGTCTACTTTCTAAAACAATAGGAAGGAAATGCAGCGTCAAAATGACTATAAATCACAGGAGCGTGAAGAGAGGAGTTGAGAGATACCAAGAACAACGGAAAAAGGTGAAGAAATATGGCAGTTACAGCAATTCGTTTTTTTTGGATGGTTCAGGGCAGAGATATTTGGACAAAGAGAAAAAAGACTGAATAAATCTAAAATACAAGAGTGAGATTAGGAGGAAAAATGTAAAAAGGTTTTTGGAGGGAAGGCGGAAGGTGATGACGGGATAAAAAGTGGCCTTGGTCTTACTAGATAGACCAATGGAAATTAAAAATAAGGACTGGTAGTGTCACTGTCAAAAGATCGGAAAATCCTTTATTGAGTACAAGGTACTTTTTCGGCAAAAATAGCCAAAAGTACCAAAAACAAAATGGTGTGGAAGAGAAATGAACAAATAGTGGGGATAAAATAGGTACCAAAAGATTCAGCTCGGCGAGCTGCAACTGCTAATTACAATTTCAGAATGAGATGCAAAAGAAATAATAAGTGAAAATAGTGGGAATCCACTGTTTTTCAGTCAGATACTAGAAGTAAGCAAGCAAAACTCGTAAGTTGAGGTAATTCCTTGGCAAAAAGTAAATGAAGAGAACGGGTTTGAAGAATAGTAACACCGTGCTAGAAATAATGCAGAAAGGACTTATACTTATGGAGAATGCCAGATTTTCTCCATATCCAACACTAAGTCAATAAAAATAAACTATTAAGAACAAAGATGACAGCTATTAACACATAATAATCCTCCTACTGGAGTAATAAAGATGTTTAAAGGGGGCAACTTGAGTCAAGGGTGGAGTTCGTCGTAAAAAAAACAGCATAACCAGTAAAGAACTACAGATATAGCACCAAATAGATAATATACCACTCAAAACTCCGAAAAATTACACAGACTCACCGAATTGAACCTGATACATCCCATGAAATATACATCTAAACCCGCAGAGGGCAAGGTCAGTGAAAACAGAGTTTATATAATAATTTCAATGCGTAAATGTATCTCTAATGTATTTATATGTGTGGAATGTGAAAATTCAAAAGTGTCCGGCAGATATTGTGTGTAAATAGCTTGTTTACTGTATGAAAGAGTTAGAACGCAAATGTATCGAAAGCAATCGTCTCGCACTCTGATTTGGTCCCAAAATAATTCAAGCTGTTCGGACGATCAATTATCGTGTTTTGCTTTGCCTTTGATCCACGTGGAACGAATATAATAGAAGTTGTGGCTATTAGATCTAGTGTTAGTATACTTCGTACTATCCATGAACGTCAATACCGTCAGCCTCTAAAGTTTCCAACATATTCTCAAGATATCATTGAAAATTATGAGAAACATCCTCAATTCATGGCTGATTTGAAACTTTGCGTGGGTGAAAACGCTAGCTACAATAATGCCAAGGGTTTGTATATTGAATTGCGAACTTTGCACCCAATCCTCATGCCCATGAATCCATTTATTTAATGGATCGATTCCGTGGAAGCCTTTCCGAGTATCTTGGTAGCGTTAATCTCACAGTGTTTTTTGATCTGACCAGAGAGTCGCCTGACAAGTCAAAATTCGCACGTCTTACTACAGCCTTAGTACAAAATATACACCCCCTTATAAATAAACTACTGTCTTATCTCTTTTAGTGAAGGTTCAGTAGTCGAGTTATTTAAAATTCTAAAGCCATTTCGAAATCACGGAGTTCCAAAACTAAGAAATTTTCTTAGTTCTTATCTTAATATTTTCTTAGTTCTTAAGAACTAAGAATTATATAGCATTGTACATCGTATAGGGAGCGGCGTTTCCAAATATGTGCGTCACGTTCCGGTTGAAACCACGAGTTGCTGTGTAGTGTGTTGTGTCTGCTTGGTAAGTCCTAATTGTTAAAGTTCTTGTATGCAATATGTTATTATGCACTATAAAATCCATTAAATGGACTCGAATAAACATTTTAAATAAAAGACTACAAGATTTCACTTTATTGAAAAATTTTATACAATTTAAACATGTTTAAATGTCTTAATTGTTTTCTGTAGTGATTCTAAGTACCCTGACTTTTGATCCTAAACCGTGCTGGTGTCCCCCGTGTTGCCCTAATATAAACTTTAAACGTTACCCTATACATCTCTGCCAACAGTAATCTTACTGTTAACTTAAACATTAGAAGGTAGATGAACCAGATTTATCTCAAAGCAAAACTTAAATTGCTTCTGTGCCTAGTAATATGGAATGTCATTTCGACAGTCTGTTAGTTGCCGTTGTCAATCGTCACTTTGTCAGGGTCTGAAAATGTAAATTAAAATTGCGAATTTTGATCCGGAAATTCTTCGAATATCTGTAGGATGTCTTAATAGTCACATTCATTACTGCATAAACTTTATCCTGGCTAAAACCGCGGAATACTACTGACTTGCACCTACATCTATGTCACCGTTGACCGTAAGTTATCAGTCATCTACTGTATGGTTGTGTGGTTCACCAGGTAGGGTGGGCTGGTGTGGTCGCATCTTAGGGTGCGATTGTATGTTTTCCTGGCCTTGTTGATGTCTGGGTTAATTGTTCGAATCACATGGAAATCAAACAGTCAGTGGAAATGTCTTTAGGTGAATGGCTTATGCAAGCCCTGTCTTTCGGGCCAAGTATATCTATCCAGGAGTGCAAACCCACCAGTGACCGTGAACGCACACTTTATATCGCCGCTATGAAACAACCGAGTTGCAAAGTACTGTTGGGATAATGTGTTGATAGCTCGCTAGGGTCCCGTTTATGGTTAGAGTTATGATTACATGTGCAGTAAGTGGTTTAATCTGAAAACTAATGCGTCTCATCATAATTAAGGGATGGCTTTTAGTCACGGCACAGAGGAATATCCTGTTTAATGTGTTTTTTCATTATTTTCTGTATTTTTCTTATGAATAAATACCATTTATTATAAAGCAATTAGCTTTTCTAATTGATCTGCCGAAGGTCAGTCATATGTTTGCATTGCATGGATCATGATAATTTAACGTTTAAATACTGTTTGCACTTCGAAGGGCTTTTAAAAGCCTAGCTGAAAGAACGTTTAAGAAACTCTACTCGATGTGATCTTTTTAACTTTAACTGCTGTATAGAGGCAGCTTTATAAGGACACAATTCTTGGAGAAAGTAATGAGAGAAAGCACCATGTTAATCAAGTACGTCACGTCCTCCTTATGAGAAGAGACTGGAAAAACTAAACCTCTCCTCACTATCATACTGTAGGAGGAGAGGTTATTGTTTATTAAACAATCAGGGTATTGATCTGTATAACATTTTCTCTTTCGGATAAGCTTGAGTAAATATGGAAAAATTCCTAAACCGTATTCGAATCAGATAAGGGAAAAATTTAGGTTCAACAACTAGAACTCAGGATATGACAGCCAGGTACACGACACATCTGTTCTGGGCAAATGGGTTTCAACAAGCTGCAACGATTTCCTCTAAAAGAAAAGCCACAGAAAATCTTGACGTGCCCACCGGGATGCGAGGATGATTTAACAAAGTTGTCATCTACAGTGCTCACTGAGTTTTGCTTAAAGAGCTACCTGAATGCTTATAGTTATGCACAAATGCTCAAGAATATTACCTAATATGCTAAGTGCAAATCGCACATACGTGGAGTCATCTGCTCATAGCAGTCTACATTCTTCATATCTCAAGCAAATGAATATTTCACATCAGAAATAAGGGAATGAAAAATGAATTATATTCAAATCATTAATGAATATGCGCAATAGTCCAACACTGTCAGCTGAGATTCGAACTCGGGAAAACTAGCTACTCACATGATGTCGGTATATCTTGCCCTCATCAGTGACATTCAAAAAATGATGAGTAAAAGGCTTACATAGCAAATTTAGTTTTGAATATAGCGACATGATGGCCTGATAATACCAATTGAAGGTGATTATTTTCTCAGTCATTATGTCTCGATCTTCAGTACCGTGTTTGTGAAAACTATACATGTTACATGGGGTCTATAATGAGAAAAACCAATTTACCTATGATTACGTACATTATGATCTGTTTGATCTGTAACGACAGAAGACAAGGGCCAGGCAACAGATCGTTTATCGAGAAAATCAACAGATATTTATAGATTTTTATGTACATTATCATAGGTTATTATTAGCAGAGAAACAGCCTCTTCTGATTGCTCGTTTTCTCACTGGAAGTTAATCTGTCATCTCGTGGCTGTTTCTTTGAAGGTCAGACCATACATCTGCGAATCGTATCCTCCCATGCAAAGTCTTTGTTCTTGTTTCTCTCATGACCAAGATTTGGGAAGTAAACATTGACGTGAATTGCTGTCTACCAATTTTGGCTACCAGACAGCTCTCACCACAGATCTCTCTTATCAGTTGCTAATGTCCATGAAAACAGCACACTATGTAGGAGTCAATAGGACATATACTACCGAAAGGAGAGCTTTCTGTGTAAAAATACATCAAACTACTCAACTTATTCACAGTCTTCTAAAGCATAGACAAAGGTTCACTTGTGTATAGATGGCGTATTCCAAGTCCTTTCTTGCGACACTGAAGAACTCCGTAAAACTGTCATACATGGTTGCCCGATGTTCATAGTTGACAAGGTCTTCTAGGGTAGAACTATTGGTATACTTTTTTTCTCTTCCGGCTAGTCAGGTTGGACAGTGATCCAGGGTACGTTACATAGCATTTCATACAGATACTATTTTCACGCTTTTGCCGTCTTTCTGCCATCTTTGTCCACTTTATAAAATAATATTTAATAAGTATTTTTCGCATCATATCAACCTATATTCCCTTTTCCTAGTCTTCAGTTAGTCATCCCCTTCTATATAACACCTCACATTATGTGGGTAATTTTGTAGAATAAATTTACCATCACGTAACTGTACAGCTGTTGACAGTGATTCGTCGAAAAGAAAATTTTTTCTTATGACTCAGTATATGAATATTCGGTTCATTAGTTCAGAAGTGTTTAGACGTTCACTTCTTTTTTTTTATTAGGTATCAGAAAGCTTCACTTCCTATTTATATTATTTTGCGTCGTGCTTGTGTCTTTTTGCAGTAGTATCATTACCTTACTGTCCCTATAATTGATGTTCTTTTTGATGTTTGATATGTTAACCTGATGAATTTCTGTTTTGTGTTGTTTCTCCAGTCAATTGGTAATTCTAAGTGGGTTTTGTGGTGATCTGCATATTGTTATTATTACTTCTAAAGCAAAACAGATTGGGCAAAAATAAATGCAAAACGCTTTCACTTTATTTCTCTCCTTTAGTATAGTGCAGGTGGTGAGCTTATCTAGCACGAAGAACAAGGTGTACAAGTCTTTATGCAGTTAGTCAATTTATAACACTAAGGGAAACAAATGAAGTGTTACTATGAATTATTAGGTAAGAAGGTTCTAATACCCGTTAAACAGATTAGGTGTCCCACAAAATGTTGAAGCGACTGATCTCAAGAAGGCTTATTACAAATTATCACTACAATGGCATCCGGACAAGAATACAAAAGAGGATACAACGATAATATTTCAAGAGATTCAGGAAGCCTACAAGTAAAATTCTATTTTAACTAATTCTTTTATGCTGTTTTACTGGGTTTTTTTTCAACGGTGGTGAGATACAGAAATTATTTTGAGGACAGCAGCACTTTTTTTGTTGTTTAAGTACACCGGCGTGTTTAGCGTATGAGTGTATGGAACGGCTTCCGATGGCAATCAGCTGCAGTTTGGTTAGAGGAAGAGTAAATAGTAGCCCATTGATTTTCGTAGTTGATCAAAAAACTCAGTTCTCTGTTGAGACTGTACATCGTCGGCTACATATTTTACCTCTCATACTTCACCAATGGACACGATTTAAAGTAAAATTCACGTCGGTGGTTCAGTGGTAAAATGCACACCAACCAACCACTTGATCCAGGTTCGTTCGCCTTCTAACGCACCCTTAAACTTCGCTTGACTAGCAGTAGTCCCGGTGAAGATGGAAAGTTGGTTATGAGGCTGGTTACTCCACCCAGTGAATAAATACCTCTACCACTGAAACTTCAGTGGCTTGTAGCTGCATGTTCCATTCACAATGCAAATGAAGGAAGCATTCATGAGTCATCGTAAACCTAACCTAATTAATTTTATATATTCTGACTGACTCATTTCAATGTAGAACTTCGCACAGATGTGCTGCAGTTTGAGTTGCCACTCTCCCTCCTTGCAGCACACAAAGCAAGAGAAGAGAGTAAAGAGAGATTAAAAAAATAGCAGTGTGAGGCAAAAAGAAAAGTAAAATGAAAGGACAATAGAATTTTATTGGATATAATAAATCACGGAGAGTGAATGCATCTGCGCTGTCACTGAGAACGATTTGGAGCCATATCACCTATTGTCTCCAGTCTTTATTGGACTTTAGTGTTCCGAGGACCCCAACCAGTCAGAAAGTCTACACCTGCCTACGAGGCTGGCTGGCTGGCTTGAACTAACTGTTGTGGATTTCATTGATTGACGAAGCCATGTATTGGTTTGATCACCACTAGCTAACTCTTTTCCAACCTGATCCATCCTACGTCAGTCAGCTTACATTGCCCGTTGTCGAGGAGGGCGATCGATCACTAGGCTAGGCATGTGTAACACATGTTCTAACCACCTCTCTCAATCGATGTGACTTGACAACTTCATCGATTGATTTATCCTCCTTACCTAACACTCGATTGAAGCCTCACCTGAATATTGTTCACCCTATTGCACCGTCTAACACACATGGAAGATAGAACTCAGACACCTACAATCGAATACAGCTAGCCAGGCTTTTCATGTCTTCCGCTTCCGAGGGTCATATTTCAGTCATAAAGGAGGACAGAGTGAACTGCTGAGCAGTACACACGCCCTTTGGTCGACAGCCGGATAATACGTCTACGCCAGATATGGCGTAAGTTGGCATATGCGAAACTAGCCTTCTGTATCCGTGCTGAGATTTCGTCAGCGATGAACCCACTGGCGTTGTCTGAATTAACTTCCCAAATAAGTGAAGTGGTAAACGTGCTCTATACTGAAGTTTAACAGAAGTGGGGATAGTGGGCATCCCTGATAGACACCACTAGTTATCACCACTTCAGATGCCAACTCTCCGTAGGCTCTCACTTGGCTGCATGAGTTCGAGTAGAGTGCTTTAACCAGTGCGATGTGTTTTCTCTTTATACATTCGTGTTTCATAATTTCTTTTTAGTTACCCTCTTTTCTCATTCTTTGTTTATTCGTTTTCAACAATATATATTCAGAGTTTTATCTGATCCTCATGAACGTGCTTGGTATGATAAACATCGGGCACAAATTTTACAAAGAGATGGTTGTGCTAGTCAAATGGGTGGAACATCAAACTATCAGGAGGATCGAGTTGATGTTTTTCAATACTTTACACGATCTTGTTTTGAAAAATTTGACGATGGTCCAAAGGTATGATTAAAATTATTAGTGAGCTGAGTGGATATTCAGTTAGTACTATTTAGTTTTGATCATAATTTTTCGATGTTTCAACAATGAAGAAATACACATTCATTGATTTTAAAGTGTTTTGAGATGAGATAGGATTACTTTATTGGATTACTTATTGGATTTTCTGGCTTCCAACCACCTAAAGTGTATTTATCGCTGTAAATCTATGAAGGTTTTAAACCAGTCACTTTTAACTATCTATCTATCTGTCTATCTAACTTAATATCAATTAAATCGTCAAATTTCCTAACATCACCCTGTGTGGTTAAGCAAGGGACAAACAAGATCTATTCACAGCGCTATCCTATCTAATCTTGTGGATACAGAACACAAGATTGACGTTAACCAGGCTTTCAGGATCATTTACCGCATACCTACGAATCTCAATTTTGCCTTAAGAGTTCGACTACTAAATATTGCTGAAGCTGTTACGATCCACATTAACAAGCCTAATTTGTGCGTCCAAAAGAAGCTAGTTCAGACATTATCCTTACCTTGGCCATCTAGGTTTGAATGATCCTGAATTTTTATGGAATTTTCCTAATTTTAGTTGATATTCTATTTGCTACTATATCTTTATTATTATAATTTAAGCATCTTTAATAAACTGTAATTTCACTGTGATCTTACTTTATAAATCAATATTATTTAAAAAACACTAGTATTATTATTGACTACTATTCTAGAATATTCTATGTATATACACATATATATACTTGTAGAACCAGAAGAGGAATTTATCGAAAAGGATATTCTTTGCCCGCTCGATTATTTTGTGTTTTATAGATGTCTGAATGAATATTTTTTGCTAGATTATAAATTATTTTAATGCTTACTAGTGACCGACTTCCACATGAAGTTACTCTGAGTTGTAGTAGGAAGTCATGAGCTGTCAGGTCCATCATATGCGGTATGAAGACAAATACTTGCTAATGATATTGATCCGCGGTGATACTGTTTATATTTTTAAATTATTATTTATTGAAACACAAACGTGGTACATTTTGGGTATCAAGAGATACGCGAAGGCTATGATTACTGCTCGAAAACTCAGATTAAAGCAGGTGATTGTGTTAAGGAGTCATCCCTCTAGCGTTTGATTTGAATTCTGATCTACAAGGCATCTCCCTTAGCTAGATCTGCGTGTCCACCAGCCCTGTTGTAAGCGTCAGACTTTCGGACACGCTGTGTTATTTTCGTAAGGAACAACCCCACCACATGACGGCAGTAAATAGAGGACAGAGGCTGTGAACGCATGGCCACATAAGAGTATTTCGAGAGGAAGACTGGAGTTTACCCACCGTCAACCGAACTGGGTCGTTTACAGTTGCATATATATTGCAAATTGGCACAAATCAGAATTCATGAGCCTTCGTACTTCATCCTTATAGCTGAGTTGTCAACAGACTTGAATCGTTACCTGGAGGTCCTGGGTTTGATCCCTAACATACTACTGAAGAGTCCTAAACTAGGACGAAATGGTTGTCTAGTACACCATGGTTTCCAGTGCTTCTCTCTCTATCTCTCTGGTGTCAGTTCGTGACCTAACTTAAAACCAATTAAATCCCTGCATTATATCAGCTCCTTAAAAGGCACACCACTCATTCTTATACGACTTTCTAAATATCTTATAACTTTTGGCGTAGTAAATAAAGCATTTCGACCTTTTATAGTCCTGTGTACTTAACTAAGGGTGAAAAAATGTATATCGGTTCAGAATTTCCGTGGATGTACATTGGAATAGTGTAAAAGCCTGCCGGTCGACTGAACACTTGCTTCATAATGTTTCCTCTGACATTCTCTTAGTACTAACTTGAAATCTCTTTGTAAGGTAAGGAGAAGAGACTCGTTCAACCTTTCTACAACTTGGCTAAGCACTAACAATGGCAGCTTTCAGTCCTTAGTAACCTTTGGTATTTTGCCAGTCGTCTGATTTTGCGACAAACAAGGTTCTTCGAATCGCTCTCGACACACACAACTTCAGAGGAATTCATAACTGTATCTTGGTTGAATTTCTTCGGCACATCTAGGTTGTGTTGAGCGTCGACGAAGGAGACTGGTTATCCATTCATCTCTTATGTTTCTCATAGTTTACTATTATGTCTTCCTTTCTAAATTGTTTTTTTAGTGTATACTATTTGTACTACTTACTTGTTTTTAGTAGTTAATTGCATAATATCATTATTTTTCATTTTAGGGATTTTATACTGTCTATGGGAAGGTGTTTGCAGATATTGCTAAAGAAGAGAAACATGCAGCTGCTTTTTCAGGACACGTTATTTCCTCGAGTGAAAGTGATACTGATGACAATGACGATGGAAGTTGTGGAAGTAAACCACGAAGTTATCCACCTTTTGGTGTTTCATCCAGTTCATACACAGAAGTTGTTGCTCCATTCTACTTATTTTGGGAAACATTTGAAACAAAGAAAACGTATACATGGGTAGAGAAGTATGATACAAGGTGTGCAGATTCACGTCAAGTAAGTGTGTTTATATCCATACTTGTTATTTCCCCCCCACCCCCCGCCTTGTGTTCCGAGCGCGGAACATAGGCCTTCGGCAGCGCATCTGCATTTCACTCTCTGTTATCTGTAGTCTCTTTTCAAACTGCCTCCACTATTGCCTATAAGCTTGCATTTATTCTTCACACAATGTCTTCCCTGCCATCATCAGGCAGTCAACTCATCGTTTCGCATTTGCGTTCCACTCGAGGACTTGAGTGTAGACGGTCTTCTCAGCGTGTATCCAGTTTATTCCTTGTGTATATTTGTGGGGCGATAGGTTCTTGGTTGGTCTATTGTTAGAATTGTTTGTTGGTTAGCCTTTCTGGTCGGTCTTCTGATGTTCAGGATCGGAAGCAGGCAACTGTTAATACAATTCTATAGTAGCCAGTTGTCGGCACGTGCACGCTAATTCTCTGAAGCACTGTTGAAGATCCGGATCTTGTTTCTTATGCTGAGTGTATAGAAGGTTTCCACACTGACTTCCTAATCCTTTCTGGCTTTAATATCCTCAACCGTGGCATCTGTAGTTATATATTCTTATTATTGTTTCCTTTAATTCCTAGAGGAACATAGGGCTTCAGCCGAACGTTTCCCTTGCGTTCGGTCCTCTGCTAGAGTCTTCACCTGGCTCCAAGTGTGCCCACACGTTTTCATCTCCTCTTCACATGACCTCCTCCAAGACCCTTTCGGGTTCCACTCGAGCAATGGCTTGTCTAGTGATGTCACTTGATGGTTTGTTTTCTCAGAGTATGGCCAATCCATCCCCATTTCTTCCTGCATATTTGTTTCACAATCGGTTCCTGGTCGGTTTGCTCCCAGAGATCCCTGTTGCTGATCTTTCCTGGCCACCTGATCTTGAGTACTGAGCGAAGACAACTGTTAATGAATGTCTGTAGTTTGTTTGAGATGCTCTTTATGACGCGCAGTGCATGTCTCTGATCCGTATATTGAGTAGCACCGACTTCACATTGGAGTTGAAATTCCGGATCTCATTTTTGATGCAGAGTGCTGTTGACCTCCACACAGACTTGAGAGTAATGAAAGCTTGTCTTGCTTTTCCGATTCTTGCTGTGATATCCTCGTCAGTTCCGCCTGTAGTTGAAACGATGCTTCTCAGATAGGTAAAGGAGGTTGTTTCTTTCAGGTTCCTTCCATTTATGCTGATTGTTGTCTGTTGTTGTTGCTGCTGCTGGTGTTGCCCAGGAATCGTCATCACCTCTGTTTTCTCTGTGTTCACATGAAGTCCTATCTTCTCCGGATGCTTCTTCTGCTAACTTGTTGCTTTTCGGAAAATATCATCGGCAAAGTCCAGATCTTGCAAGCTTTTTTGTGAGTCCATTTTATGCCTGCCTCCTCGTTACCCGCCGCTGTTTGTCGCATTATCCAATCTACTGCAATCAAAGAAATCATTGGTGATAGTCGGCAGCCTTGTGTTACTTCTGTCCTCACTTCGAAGGATTCCGTAAGTTTCCTGTTGTGAATTATTTGGCATGCAGCATTGTTGTACAACTGTCGGATGAGATGTATAATTATCGGTGGCACCCCGTAGTAGCGAAGTAGTTTCCAAATCACCTCTTGATCGACGCTGTCGAAGGCCTTTTCAAAGTCGATGAAGTTGAAATAGAGAGGTGACTGCCACTCCAAGCTTTGTTCAATGATGATCCGTATTGTGGCGATCTGATCAATGCATGACTTGTTTCTCCTGAATCCAGCTTGTTCCGGTCGTAGTTTCTCATCTAGGGCATGTTTGATTCTCTCCAGGATGATGCGGCTTAGTATTTTGCTTGGTATGGACAGGAGCATAATTCCGCCCCAGTTCTTGCGTTGACTTAGGTCTCTGTAGTTAAAACGATACTACTCCGGTAAGGGAAAGATAAGTCATCTATCGGGTTTCTACCACTGATAATGATTGATTCATTTTGTTGTTGTTGCTGCTGCTGTCGGTTAAGTATCTTCATCACCTTAGGGTTTTTATTTATTTGTTCTTACTTATGAAATTCCTCTCAAGTTTTCTTCGTTTTGTGCAAAGGTTGACTTATGACTAACTCTCTCCGCCATTATTATCAATGCAAACACTTAACTAGTCGGATTATAAAGCCCACAAACATTTCTAATCGTTACCTACCAAATGTGTAGATGCAGTTGGTTCCTCATGAGAAGACGTTCTAATATCTCCGGCGGTAGATTTCTTTTTCCGGTCGTCAGGTAATTTAATTATCAACTCGTTGAAGAATATCATCGATAATCATACCTGTAGAGCTACTTATGCATGTGAATTAGAATCAAGATTCGAATCAATGCTTCCGTAATGTAAATTAAGTGCCCTGTCTTTCTTTCCCATTCGTTTTTGCACAGTCAGTGACCTATTTGAAACTCCTATCCTTCTCACAAAGTGATGTGATCAGGCTATTTCTATTTCCCTTGCTAAAACACCATTTATATTCTTGGAAGAAACGGTGTCGCATCATCTGAATAAGTCGTCTTTCACTGTCTCAGTGCAGTGCTTGAGATTCATCCACAATTCTCCCATTGTTAAATAAGTTGACGTGGCTAACCTATCACAGAATTGAAGACTTAATAGTTTAGGTCATTCTTCATATTGCCATTTATCTCACTGTGTGACTAACATCAGATGTACTGTTGAGTATCATTATTTCCCACTTTTTTATTGATTTCACCTGGTTGTTTTTACCCATAGTGTGTGACAACTTGGATAGGCTTCATGATTTTATCTGTTTCTGCATTCTTTGTCTATTAGCTTGTTCCACTGTTTCATTTTTATATCTATTTGTATTTGGTTATGGTTTGTCGGTTTAATTCTTTACTCTCATCGCGATTCCACTTCATACGTCGTTAAAAGCTGTCATCAGTGACTCGTATACACGCTCAGTAATTCTATTGTGCTGGGTTCGGGTGTCTTACAGTATGCAGCATTTTTTCCCCAGTATATTCATGTCGAGATTGAAAATTACTACACACTTGTTTGCGTTCTATCTCCTTTTTGGTGAGTAATATTAAGGTTAAGCGTGGAGTGCTCGGTAAGAAGGGTAAGTCAGTCAAGCAATGAGGTTGTGAAGTCACATCGATTGAGATGGCTTGGACATTGTGTTGTGCATGCTGAGTCATTGCATTGCATTGCCTTCCTCGACACTGGGCAATGTTAGTCGACATGGGATTAGGCTGGAGAAAGTTAGCGGGGGAGGGGGTCAAGCCAACACCTAGCATCGGTCTACAACAGTTGGTTTGAGCCAACTGCGTAGGGAAATGTATACTCCCTGGTTGGGATCCTTGGGATAATCAGGCTTAAGACTATTAGTGGTATGACTCAGAGTCTTTCTCAATGGCTTGCTCAGATGCATTCACCCTATGTAGTCTCCCTTATCCACTAAACTGTTGTGTTATTTCCATGTTACTATCCTCTCTTCCTCACATTTTATTTGAATCTCTTTTTCCTCTGTCTTCCTTTGTGTGCTACATGTAGTGTAGCAACTTGAAGTGCTGTATTTCTGTTCTACACTGAAACTCAGTCATTCAGCCAGTCATTGAGAACTACTGGTTTTAAAGAAGAATTCTTAGTAGAAATGTACTTTGAGCAAGTTTAATATTTTCTTATTTGGAATGTAGTATCTTGTGAAATTCTCACATGAAATAACAAACGGCCAATGGTTAATCACTTTTTCTCGAAGATAGCACAAATGCTTGATTAGATATGTGCATGAGAAGGATGTGGATCTGTGTTTCTACTTGTCTAGGCAGTCAACTTCCAACCACTAGTTCCTGAGCTCGAAGCTTGCCCCATATGCTGAGATTTAGGCATTTAGTTTGTATCATTAGCCATTATATAATAAATGTGGCTTACTACCATGAAATGTGAATATCCGCATAGTGCATTAAATCAAAAGCATGCATCTGCTGCAGCTGCTGCCGCGATGAGTTTGCTTGAGTAGATTTCCTTTAAGATTGAGTTCTTTTTAGTCGATCATATCTGTCATCACAATTCAATAGGAGGGAAATTAAGGGTTCGTGAATTTATGCTTCTAGTTGGTTATGAGTGTCTGTCGTATTTTCATTTTATGAAGACACGGAATAATTATGAATTTCTTGTATGGAAGACACTTTATACACCCAACGTACGTGCAGCCGTTTCTTTGTCAAAGCAAGTATAATCAGGTTGCGTATTTCTTTTCATGAACACCCTATAGGAACGTCGTGCTATGGAAGCAGAAAATAGTCGACTACGCATGGCTGCTATACGCAAACGAAATGAAGAAATACACCAGCTGGTAGCCTACGTGAAAAAAAGGGATAAACGCGTTTTAGCCGAGAAAGAACGTATTCAACGTGCAACTGAAGCGGCTAAAGCTCGTACCCAATCAATGGCTGTAAAGGCAAGACAGCGGTGAGTGTAAATGATTAGTCTTATGTGTATTTGAATTTACTATCCTCTCTAAATATATGTATATATATATATATATATGTATATTCAGTCGCGAATTTACTTCAGTTAGAATAACCATTGAAAACCAGGGAGTACTTGACAGCCGTTTCGTCCTTGTTTAAGACTCTTTATCAGCATGTACCTATGACTTTTTCTCTGTAGATCGAAATTAAGACCTTCAGATTATTGTGAGGTGAAATCACCAAGCATACAAAGGATGGAATCCACTGCCCAGTCCATAAGTCCTAACTTCTGCCAATTAGTGAAGTATGTGGTGTGACTGCCAGTCAAAGTCAATGGTGGGTATTTTTCCTCATATCCAACTTGGCAAATCCTGCTGTTCACTACTTCTCACTAGAACTCCTGAATTTACTGGATTAATGGAGTGATGACTAGTTTCTTTCCAGAGAATTATGTCGTGTTGGGTTCGACTTAAGAGTTAAAATATAAATTTCAAAAGAAACATCGGTCATGCTTTCCTCAGACATGATGAGTCAGTTTGCTTATACGCAGTAATCAATTTCAGAAATTCTTAAATATTTTCTGCAAACATGTTTCTGTGAATTAACAATATACAATAAGCCTTGGTTATCGATTCTTGTTTATTTAGAAAGACACTGCCAGGTTCTTGGATTTAATCATAGCCGGCGGTGAGTTGTATCGATATTTCAAATATTAAAGACATTCCTGAGAGGTTGAGAATATCTTTGAACACCAAACAGTCATTTATTAATCGACTTGTTGCACTTTAAGACTCTTAACTAAAGTATACAATGCTAGAAATCAAGGCCCTTTTGCTGCAGACTGTTATCAACAGTTGTCGTCGCTCACTACCGAAGGTCAGGTGGCGGCTATAAAAATGATAGGCAAGCAGCAAATGAACCGTATACTGTTGGGAGACTGCGCATGCATCATTGAAAGTATTTCTAATAGCCGTCAAGGTTAAACTATCATAGCCAAACTACAGTGACCTTGAACAACCAATCAGAATTCGGATGCTTATAAGCCGACAAAATCGTTACAATTATGTTATTAAACTGGATAATGGTCTCTAATATGTTGTATAACCGTCTCCCAGTTACTCCGAAGACGATCAGCAGAGAAACCATTCCATACCCAATACATGTATTCATCGATGTGGCTAAAAATCATGGTGTATTTCGATAGATTGACATTCCTGATTCGTTTTTTCAATCTTGCCCTGAATCCTTCGATAGAGTCAGTATGCCTGCCTGTGACTGGATCCACAAGGTTGGAGGGATGGTTGACACGATAGTGAATATAACTCAAAGACGATAGTTGGTTGTATACTTTACTTTACTTTACTTCGGCTATCTCCTACCGGAGGATGAGCCGGCTTCATGAACATCTCGAATCATCGCTGCCCAGACGCGGGGATCTGATGCAAGGTTTTGCGACAGGGTTATCCAATTCTTGTTCCACAGACGGAGTCCGTAGACGGTTTGTAGCCCCAGGCACTCCATATCAGCCTTGACCGTACCAAGCCATGTAAGAGAGTTCATGAAGTTTCATGGGAATTTGGTACGAGTGATGTCCCCAGAATCGCTCGGCCTTTTGTTTGAGAGTGCAGCTCTAGCCTTTACACAACCAAGTGTGACCTACAAGGCAGTAGGAATGGAGTAGGGAGTCCACTATCCATTGGCAGCCGGTGACCGGAGTTCGGTTCATACGCCTTTTTGAATGGGGCCAGACATCCAGGACATCCAACAAGCCCCTTGTCCATACGTCTGCCGTTGAGCTCCAGTGATCTTCATACGCCAGTCGTTGGAGGTTTGGAATCAGGGTTTAGCCATCTCCCCTAGACTGTCATCCAATGGACAGTCAACCCGGTGAAGAGCGCCGGGCATCCGCTTTCGCCCTCTCACTTTGGTGAAAAACACCTCCGCCACGTGAAGGGAGTGAGTAGGACTTCCTCAGGAGAGGCTGTGTAAGACGCCCGGTCATATGGGAGCATTTCAAGAGGTGTGCGGAGGGATGGCCAACCCGCAGCGCAAGGCACCCACCCCCGACCATCCTGAGGCTTTGGAGGTTGGTTGTATCCCCTCCATTTATCAGTATGTATGATTGTTCCTGGCAATACCAAGCGCTGAATGACTGGGATTAATGTTGTGGCACTTCTGTTTCGTAACGTTTTTTACGAAACCTTTGTGAAGTGAAGTGTCGTAGCTTCCAAGCACCTACACTTGATTTTCCATTCTCCTGCCCCTGTTATACATTTTCCTAATGAGCACAGTCTCATCGATCTGAGTGACTACTCCCACTCTTCCAAGACATCCAGTAATCCCTAGCAACTTCCATGACACTATGTCTCCATAGTGCTGATACCATTGCACCGTAGAGACTTGGTTATTTTCTGTATCAACTGCCACTGGTCTTACAGGTCTTTGTGAAATCCAGTAGTACATAAAACGTAGGATATCTGTAAAAGACAGCTTAGACTTCGAGAAAAAAAGCACCTGAGGAATAAGTAAAATACTGCACTTGTCCTCACGAGCAGATTTCCTCCTATGACATGAACTACATCTATAATAGTATTCATCTGCAACAAGATTGTATTGCTTTAATATCATAGTATATATCCACAAATACAACTCTTAGTCACTCCAATTAATCCATTATTAACACAGTAGTTAAATGGTCGATCTTCGCGGAATCCGCTAACCAAATCTATAAAAGTAGGCATAATTTCAGCTTGGAATCACCTGCAGAAGTGTCCGACGAATATAATTGGTCCTTCGGGGTCAGCCTTGAAAGACATTGACTGTGGCTATGATACTTTAACTTCGCCCAATAGCCTATTGCAGACTTTCACCAACTGTCGTCTTTGCTCGACTCCGAATATATCAGGTGACGGACTAGAAAGGATAATGAAGCAACAAAAAACTTAAGCACGCGGTGAACCAAAAAAGAACGTATTGTGAAACAATTTTGCAGCAGGATATGATGATGCTTTGAAGGGACATATTCTAATGTGACCTCCAATTGGCATGGTATTACAAAACTTTCAGAAAGAACGCCAATCAAATGGGTCGGGCGTTGAAGGCCTGCATGGCGAAAACCATCCCAGGGGGGTGGGAATCGAAGCTTTTGTGCGATGGTGGGTCATGTTGAAAGTGGAAGCAGAGAACTGAATAAAGTGTTGGTGTTCAGCTGATAGCAGATGTTCCACTAGAACCACGAACAATGAGTTACAATGCTTTTAGATTAAAAATCATTCCGTAACAAGTGTCAACTGAAGTTATGAACAATATACTCCACAATCCAATGTAGCCGCTCATCTGATTCGTGAATATAATACATATGAGATTATGCTCTGTGCAGCCAGGGAAATGATAGTTCATGCGAAGGAAGTGATTTTGATCTTGTAGTTGTAAAGAACTTCACTAACGCAGTGTAGCGTTATCAAAGCGTGATTCAAATTTTTAGATGCTGAGATATACCTGATCACAAGGAGGCCTTATTGCTTCATACGTGATTTATGTTGCGTGTATTATACTGTGCACATTCAACACACTGTCTGATGCTGTCGAACAATGTGTAAGGTAGTATCTGTACCATTTCAATCAGTGTTGTTACTCGGGTCAACGGTTCTTTTGTTGATCTGAATTAACTACTTTCAAAATAGTTAGTAGTGTCAGTGTATGATGTAAATATTTGTAAGCTGTCGTGTTTCGAATAAATCCACTTACCGGAAATTGTCCTTTCATGTATTAGGCTATTAACCAATCTTATCATTTGAGGGCTGATAATATTGCCCAACTGCCTGGCCTGAAGTGGATGTGGTGGGACTCACATGGGTTGAAAATAGGCTGTTTAAGCCAATGTGCTACGTCTGTGTTCTTGAGGGAATGGGTAGTAATAAAGACTATCAAAGTTTTTGGACCAAACCCGGTGTCGACTTCCCTTCATAGTATTCCTTGGTAAAGACTTGCCTGCTTCTTTATTAGCTGTCATGGGTCTAGACATTTGACTTCCAGCAGGTTTGAAGCCCGCTTAACCTACTGTCATTTTCTCATATAAGTATAAAACTTGGGCACTGTCGAAGAGTGTAACTCCATTATGGATAAGATTTTATTTTGAAAAATCACACAGTGTTACACAGTAATATTAACTGATGACGTTTCGAGCACAAACTATTGCTCATAATCATATCAAGCTACTCACACTTGTACTGAAAATACGGTGTGGAATCAAGCTGTAAATCAAAAAAAAATTTTCCTTCATTTATATACATGTGTGGAATCGATTAGATATTGGCATAAGAATCAATATGAGATAATGTACATTCAGAAATAATAGTACAAGTGTTATTGATCCATTGCAATTCGATGGGAAATATGACCTACATAGATTACTTTTTAGAATCTTAACCTTATTCCACCTTATTGTGTAGATCGGGGGTAATCAGATTGGAGGAACATAAGAATTTGGCTAAGGTAAGAATGGTTGACCCCGCGAACATAAGTAATTTAGAAAAAAGCTCAGCAATTGCACTACATGCAGTAACTTACAACCACAAAATAGGGTGGGAGAGGTTTAAGATTCTAAGAGGTAATCTATGTAGGTGGAGGGAGAGTGATTACTGAATCCTGGTTCATTGAGTCTACACACCCAACACATGCAACAGAAATGACTCAATGCAAAAACCTGAGATATTATTATCGCCAGTCAGTCAAATCAAAGGAGGATAATTAATAATCTTAATATTCTATTTCAATTCAAACACATCACAACATTCTAATAAGTTACTTATTATGACTATAAAAACACTCGTCGTATTTCCCATCGAATTGCAATGGATCAATAACACTTGTACTATTATTTCTGAATGTACATTATCTCATATTGATTCTTATGCCAATATCTAATCGATTCCACACATGTATATAAATGAAGGAAAAATGTTGTGTGAGTAGCTTGATATGATTATGAGCAATAGTTTGTGCTCGAAACGTCATCAGTTAATATTACTGTGTAACACTGTGTGATTTATCAAATAAAATCTTATCCATACTGGAGTGTCATTTTCTCAGCCAGGTGTTTTCACTCCCCCTCCTCCCACATAAATGGATTCCAACTGCATGGAAGTGAGCAATATTTCATTCTTTTCCTTCATATTCAACTGTCATCATGTCTCAAACAATTAGGTATTCTTGTCAGAAGACTTCTGATAAATGTTTTCCCCCCCCTCCGCTAACTTTAATTATTTCGCCTTATTTCGTTACTATTTGTGTTTTGTTCAACTTCTATTTCCAAATAGGGAAGCAGCACAATTAGCTGAAGCATGGAATGATGAAATGGCATTCGGTGGGATTGCTTCTCAATGGTCTGAACAATTCGAGGCTGAATTAGCCCGTATGGAAGCTGAACTTGATGGTACAGTACAAGTTAGTTTAATTATTCTGACCATTGGTCGTTTTTGATGCCAAATTTTTGATAACTGCTTTTCATGTAATGATTTGACGTTGAAATCATAATGCCCCGTTTTAACTTGTATGGTTTTTTGTAATTACTGTTTTGGTGTTTATTAAATTACCTGAAGCATGAGCTATTCGAATTTGAAACGCTAATATCAAATGAATGCAGACTTTCGTCAACAGTTGCTTTCGCTCCATACTGAAGATTAAATGATTGGCAACAGGGAACTCTGGGAACAAAACAACCAAGAATCGATCACCCAACAAATATGCTGAAGGGAATGGAGACGGATTTGACACACGTTCAGGGAGTGCACGGCATGCCCTTGAATAGAACTCGAATGGAAAATGATGAGTTGGGTGTGTACGTCAGGTTGACATTGAGAAGATCGTGTGAAGAGGAGCTTGTGGACAATTGAAGAGGCACCTGAAACTGACTGCAGAAAACAGGTTTGAATGGAGATGTGTTTTTGAAGCCTTATGTTCCATTCGGAATTCGAATAATGAGAATGAAATTTTGTATTTATTTGGTTTTGTCGGTTAACTACTGACAATCATTTTAGTAGTAGGGGAATATGAGAGAAAAATCATCGGTTGGTGTAACATCATTCATTACCTGTTAAATATTTTACGAGGTCGTTTGTCTTCTTGATGTTTATCTCCCAACAACTAATGTTAGATAATATCACTGAAAGTATTATATACATATGTATATATACTGTTTTGTTGTAGGTATTTAATTCAACATTCATTCTAGATGCATTTTACTTCTTATATTGGCTTAAGCACTCGGCTTTCAGCCAATGGATCTCAGATTCGAATCTTGGCTAGCCCACTTCGACCTGGATAGCTAGGTGGTATCATCTAGCTTTCATAAACTGTGTGCTTGTCATGGCTTGGCACGTAATAACGCCTGCCAGGGACAATGGTTACCAACTACTAAGCAGCTTTTCAGTACATTTCTCTACTTGCACTTTCCCTTATCATAGTATGCTTACATTTGTTTTCAAATTATACAAAAAAACTATGAGGACATGAAAAAGAAAAGCGGAAAGTTCAAGGAAGATACCTCTTTAGCGATTTCATTCCCAATAACTGTACAAAGCAATTCATATACATAACCCCACCCCATAAGCGACCTGGTAAAATTGAGGGTGGATAGACTTTTGTCTTCCTCTCTAAATGCTCTCATGTGACCACGTGTTCATAGCTTCTGTCAGATTGCTCCTATCCACTGGCTTCACGTGGCTGGTGTTTCCCTCGCGAAAGTGAAATTGACAAGTCGAACTTATGACGCTTACAACTTGACTGGTGGACACGCAGATCCACCTAGGAGTGCTGGGAAACCCTGATTCCAAGGGCTCTAGAAACCGAAAGCATGTAATGGAATGTGAACCTGGAAACGCAGTTCCACCGTCTCACGGATCAAGCCTAAAGTCAAAGGGTCTGTGGCGGCCCCTTGAGATTTCTGTCTGGTTCTGTCCAGACGCCCTGACAGTATCCAAGCCTTAGCACAAACTTTGAGATTGCGCATCTCTTTGGTGTCCATAATGTGCAAAGTTGATGTTTTATTTTTCTGAATAATAATAAAATAGTTTCAGTACATAAGTTAGCGTAGCTGCAATTGTTATTCTTACTTGCTTCATCGTAGTAGTGAAGGTGACATTTAAATGATATTATTATTATTATTACCTTGATATGAAAGTTAGCAGGTGTGATAAGAGTTGAACAGTAATCACACTAATCATAATAATAAAAGCCAAAGTAATGCTGGATTAGGGATGCAGTTGCGTGTAACATGTTAAATAGTTTTTCTCTTACAAAGAGAAACAGGTGCAATTAGGATGTACACATAAAACAAATTGAAATAATATTTTGTAATTAAGGATGAAAAAATTTGATGGGAATGAGAGAAAAAAACTATTGAAAAAGGAACCAAACAAGAATAAATTCACGGTAGGTGTAGAGATTGAACTAGCTTGCTCCTCAATGCAGATAACGAGGGCTCCTGCAAGTTAGCAGCACACTGTCTTCGGTAGATATCTGTTTACTTTATAAATTGACTTTGAATGATGATCAAGTTGTTATGTCGGGACAGATGTTGGCGAGGTATTCAATTAATAGGTCTTCTGATTGAACGGTTGTCGTCTCATTTCATTCAGTTACTCTGGTTGGTATTCTCTAGCACGTTTGTTCTCCTTTTCGTAGTATGTCCTTGTTCAGAGTGTGACAACTCAAACTAGTAGAGGCATTCATCAGTCTTGTGACATGTTTTTGCACATACATGTTCCAGGAATTCAGGAATCATGTATTTGTTTGTGATTGAATCATGAAAGCATGGAAATGCATCTCTACCAATCTGTTTAAAAGCGAACCCTCCGCATGGAAATTCATACAGTGCAAAGTGATCCCTTCATAACATCAGCATATATCGAGGTAAACAGAGAGAAAGAGAACGAATGGAAGTATTCCTACTTAAAGGGATACAAACTGCGGTTTCTCATCACTTTACAACCTTTTAAAAAATGTGAAACATTAGCAAACCTATTTACTTAGAATTCACTGACCTGGTAAATATTGCTCACTCACCACGCAATAAATTTTGCAGAATTGGAAGCCGACACTCATTTGCTGATAGACAAGTCTCTAAGCACAATAAGCTACATTCTCTTTGCACTATCAAGCATTCATTGGTTACCTCTCGAAATGTTTTAACTAGTCATTGTATCGGCAGACAATAACCACTATCCTAGCCAGCCTTTCAAACGACATATCCAAGTTTTATCTTGAAAGATTGTGTGTCGCTGATTCATCGGTAGAGAATGCCCGCCAACCACGCATCATACGGTCCAGGATTCGGTCTCCGACTGGCGCACTCCTAAACCTCGTTAAAAAGGTATGGTTGTATGCGAGGCTAGCGACCTCACCCCGTAGGAGTGAAACCACTGCTACTGAAAGTTCAAAGCTCAAGTCTGAAGCCCTATTTTCCAATAGGAACGCAAAGGAATGAAATCCAAACTAGGAAGGCTAGAAAGGTAGTTAGTTCTCCAACATTCGATACCGTCTCAAATCATCAGAATATACTATTAGATTATTGATAGTGAAACTTATTTTTTGAAAGTTTATGTTGACGATGTTTTCCAGTGAGGATAATGATTGAATGACTGGTTGCAATGTAGAACTTTGCACCGATGTGCAGCAGTTCAAGTTGCCACTCTCCCTCCATGTAGCACACAAAGCAAGATAAGAGAGTAAAGAGAGATTCAAAAGAGATTCAAAAAAACGGAAGTGTGAGGCAAAAAGAAAAGTAATATGAAAGGACAATAGAATTTTATTGGATATTATAAATCACAAAGAGTGAATGCATCTGCGCTGTCACTGAGAACAATATGGAGCCACATCACCTGTTGTCTTCAGCCTTCATTGGATTTTACCATCCCGAGGACCCCAACCAGTCAGAAAGTGTACACCTGCCTGCCTGGCTGGCTGACTTGAACTAACTGTTGGGGATTTCATTGACCAATGAAGCCATGTTTTGGTTTTTGATCACCACTAGCTAACTCTTTTCCAACCTGATCCATCCTATGTCAGTCAGCTAACATTACCTGTTATCGAGGAAGGCTATCGATCACTATGCTAGGCATGTGTAACACATGTTCTAACCATCTCGGTCAATCGATGTCGATTGATTTCTCCTCCTTACATAACACTCGACCGAAGCTTTACCTCAATATTGTTCGCCATATTGCACTACCTAACACGGGATAACTTCATCATCAATCAACTACCTAGCATAAATATTTCAAAACTGTTAGCAATTTGTTGAGACTTAATATGAATATGAGCAATAAATTGTGCATGTCACGTAATCCAGTCATTGATACTGTATCACTGTATGTTATGTCAAATAAACTTATCTAATATTGAATTACTTGAAAAGACCGTTCACAATTTCATCCATATTGCCTTGTGTGCATCTTGATCTTATGCTGCTTTATTGAGGAGAGTGTTTCAGAAGATGCCACATAGTATACTACTTACAGATTTTTATCGGTAGCATATGCCACTCTATCTGTGCTTGAATTCAATTGCTCTGAATAGATCTTTTATGCACCAGACTAAGAGCAAGACTTATTGTGTGAGAGCCGATTATACAAATCACCTCGCTCAGGATGAAGTAAGTGTAGTCCGTGATCCACTGGCTGAAAACCGGCTTAAACCGATTAGCTACATCTCCGTCTTTATCAAATACCTTTTGATAAGGGAAAAATGCTTAAAACTTCCAGACTTTATCAACTAAAGGTCAAGGTTATAAATGGTCGTATTGTTTAGTGCTTATGTAGATTGTCCAAGAAGAGTTGTGATGTATGATATACTGTATCTTCCAACACATTTGATTATATTATGGAAACATTGTACATTGATACAAGCACTTGGCTTTCTGCTAGTGTGTCTCGGGTCTGAATCCCTCACTACCTACTTCAGTTCCAGTAACTGGGTGGTCACACTATAAGTGTAGCTCAGAGTTGCGTACACTGGGGGACGTGTTCTGGATAACGGAATTGTCAATTGCACTGCCAACGGAATAAAGTGCACTCTTAGAAATATGTTAGTGTGTTATCCTTAAAATTTACTAACAGTAGTAATTAATACATTCGTTTTAACGTTTACACTGTCTTCACTCCATTTGTAGAAGAACTCCAGGAGCAAACAACATTGCGATGATGGTGATAATCCACGCGAACCTGAAGATGTCGATGAGAATGCCGGAGACTCTGTAGACACCGCTGGCAGTGATAATGATGAGGAGTCAAATGAAATTGATGAATTGTATTGTATAGCTTGTGATAAACTATTCGCTTCACTAAAGGCTAAACAAAATCATGAATCCTCAAAAAAGCATAGAAAACAATTAGAACTGTTACGTAAAGTGATTAGTGAAGAAGATAGTGTTCTGCAGGAACATTTAAATTCAGTAATAAAACTTGAAAATCTTCGTTTAAATGATAATAATGATGATGATGCAGATGCAGATGGCTTGTCAACAAGTCAACAGCCTACAGTTAAACTGACAAAACGCGCTAAGAAAGCAGAACGTAAAAGGAAGAAAGAAGCAGAAGCAGAGAAGTCTTCAGTGGTCAATATAAATGAAGCAAGTCATACTGTCGGTGAAGAGACGGTGGAAGTGATTGACAGTACTGAGTCTGTGGATAATGCCGACAACAGTGAATCAGGTAAGTGGGTTGTATTTAAGATTTGATGTGTTTGTCTCCTCTGTGCGTGGTCATTTAGCTGTGAAACTTATTTTCCTTCTGAACAAAGTCTTCAGTATGAAGTGTACTTGTGTTAGATGATCGCAGGCAGCTACCCTAAGTCTCATGGTTGTTGGAACTAATCACCAAAGCCTTTCTGCGGTCTTGAAAGAGCTCATGTGCCTTCTGAGATTCGAACCCGTACCACTTTGATTGGATACTAGGTAAGACTGTAGGACTAATGCTTGAGTCCAACACTTCCTACCTATTGCCACCTACCACTTAATTCAGGAAATCAGATAAAATCTCTGTCGTTTCTACTTAAACCATCAAGCAAATGATACTAAATTGTAGAATCCACTTCCTTGTGTACTAATAAGTGTAACATAGGTACTTCTTGATGACTAGAATTCACTTCAGCGCTGGATGCCCTAACTTCAGTTACACTGCAGTCCTATATGGGGTCGATTGTTAACCTGAATAGTACAAGGATAATGTCTCTGACGGGTTGAGTGACTCGGGTTCGAATACCTCAGTGGGGAGGGGCGAGTATCAGTCCCTTCAGAGCTGCAGATGTGACAAATGTTAGTAAGCCCATGGCTGTCTACCGATCGCCTCCAACCATTTAACATATCATTTGACATGGTTGAGTCACATAGGGCTGATTGCTGATATTGAAAACTTGATTGATAGTATTCAGTTAGAAACCTATGAAAATATCCAAACTTTATTTTTGGGTTCTTCTTTGTAACAACACCAATGATGTTCCTAATTGTGGTGCACGACTGGATTATGCGTCAGACAGTGGGAAACGAGAAGACAGGGATATCCTGGACCGAGGTGAAGAATCTAGAAGACCTGGATTTCGCGGATAACCTATGTTTGATGTCACACAAAATCGAAGACTTACAAGCGAAAACCGACAAACTGGTCGAAGAAGCAGCAAAGACAGGACTCCAGGTGAACATAGACAAGATGAAGATTATGAAAATAACCAACCAACAACGGCAGCAGCAACATCCAGCGCCAATCACCATCAACGGGATGGATTTGAAAGAGATTACTTCATTCACTTATCTAGGGAGCATTGTCTCAACTACAGGAGGAACGGGCGAAGATGTCAAATCGAGCATCGGGAAGGCGAGAAACACATCCATCAACCTGAAACCAATCTGGAAATCTTCGTCACTCAGACTGCATCAACAACAAAATTCGGATTTTCAATACAAACGTCAAGTCAGTCAGTTCTTCTATACGGATCAGAAACTTGGCGGGTCACAAAGAATATTTCCAACAGCCTGTTGCAGACCATTATCAACAACTGTCTTCGCTCTATACTGAAGATCAGATGGCCGGAAAGAATCACCAACAAGGAACTATGGGAACAAACAAAACAAGAATCAATCGCCCAGCAAATATGCAGGAGAAAGTGGAGATGGATTGGACACTCGCTGAGGAGGCGGCTGGGTGACATCGCGCGTCAGGCCAGTGCTCGAGTGGAACCCGAAAGGGAAGTAGCGAGTGGGACGTCCAAGGGTGACATGGAGGAGATCGTGTGAAGAGGAGCTGAAACAGTATGGACTAACATGGATGCAGGTGAAAAATACAGCAGAAACAAGTGGAGACGTGCAGTTGAAGCCCTATGTTCCACTAGGAACCCAAGGGAACAATAATAAATAATAATAATTTGTAACAACACATTGTTTTATTCCACCATCATTCTCTTTCTTGTTTTCATCGGAAGCTTTTTCTTCCATTTCTAAGGTAAAGCATTTGTCTAATGCACTTCCCTGTTGTTTCTATTGGTGAAATAATAATTGTATTAGTATTAGTAATAGTAGTTGTCTAGCCTTACCTATTTACTTACTTACTAACCTTTTCTTGTAACTTTCATTCACCTCCCCCACATCATTATCTTTGACCTTTTAATATAAGAAAACTTATTACAATAATAATTATTACCTTTTTTTTGTGTTTCAACATTTATCAAGTCTCTGTGGTAGGCTTTCTGTGTCTGTTTTTGTTTTTATCCTTCACTGTTCAGTGTTTATCTATCTAAATCTCATATCATGTCTAACCGTGTATACTGACCCATTAGTCCTGCTATTGTGACTCTAGTAATAACAATACCTTACTGTTTTTGGGAAAACGAGAAGGTTGTCTTACATTCTATGTGTGTTGTTCTTGTAGTGAATTGGAAGATCGGCAGAGAGAGATAGAGAAAGGGGGGGGGGGCTGGGGAGAGCGTGAGTATTTGTTAGCTAGTCTGAAGCCTTTCATTCTCACATAATTGCTATGAAACTTGTCAAAATGTCTTTTTTTTGCTGCCTTTTCTATCATTGGCATTGGCAACATTTATCTTTGTGTGTGTGTGTGGCCTGAACAGTTATTGCATCATATCGGTGTGTCAATTAGGAGGCGTTCTGTTCCCATGTCATAAGCTAAAGAAGAAAAAGATGACAATCTTCGGTTGATTAGACGACGACAGTGATGATGAAGATGATGGCAAGCAGAGACTTTTTGTACTGTTACATAGCAGGTACTTTTAATGACTGTAGACAGTTTCTTTTGGTTGTTTATAAAGTTAATCTGTTGGTGTGGTCTTTTTGTCAGTCAGTCAGTCTGTCTGTCTGTCTGTTATGTATTATACTTACATGATCCTCCTTTTTAAGACGACATGTAATGTAACAGATGGTATGAATCATGACAGCGGTAATGTAATGTCTCAGTGAATATTTACAGTCCATGTATGCATATAAATAGGGAGAGCACATGTTTATGCTATGGTACGATGATTTTCAAGCCCATGAATTGTAACTTCTGCCAATTCATGACATAACGCGACCAGTGAATCACCGAAGAAGACATTGCGAAGTGGCCGCTCTATGTCACATGAATTGGCAGAAGTTAGGATTCATAGGCGGCTGGCCATTGGATTGGGTGGGTCCCAGTGAGTGGCGTAATGGTCTACTAGCTAGCTCGCCTTGTAACCAGAAGCTCCTGGGTTCAAAACAGCTGTCTAGTACTCCCTGCTGGTGTTCCCCAATGGTTCTGTAACTGATGTCAGCTCATGATGAAATCCTCCAAGCAATCAAACAAAATCCCTGCAAAACCCCAATGCTTGAAGATTTTGAAGCTGTTCAGTGTAATTTTTGTTGTTTCATCTAAAGTGATGCAGAAATGTCTGTCTGCAGGGTGTTTAATTTACGCGAATGGTGAAATATTACTCAGTAATGTAGCACATTTATTGTGTTTTTTGGAGGGAAATAATCAAATTACACAGCTGTTTAAACTTCCTCGGGTTGGTAGGACATAGCTTGAACCAGTTACCCGCGGGAGTTGCAAATCAGATGGTTTAACTACTGAACTACACTTATACAAAATTTGGTAGGGTAACATATCTATTACAGCAGTCGAAAACATTTATTTGTCGATATGAATTTTAAAGAAACAACAAATGTTAATAAGGAAGCAGGATTTCATGAATTCATTAAATTTCTTTAGAAATATCTCTATCTGAATGTTCTACGTACTGCAACATGTACATATATATACTATCAGAAATAAATTGGGAGAAATGTGACTGCTAAGTAAATTAACTGTAGTGAATCAATCATGGAAAACGACTGGTGTAAGTGATATTGAGCTGGGCCGAAGGGGTATGAGAGAATAAAGAGGTCAGATTATAATGGATTACGTTTCAGTTGCACCACTGTAATAAACAATTAGTTATCAAAGCGGCAACTTGGAAATGTTAGAAATGGCAAACTCAATAGCTGTAATAATAATAATAATAAGTCTGGTCAAGATAATAAGTATTACTGTCAAAATATGGTTTTAATTGAGATAAGAATATCAATGAGAGATTGAATAAAATAATTATGATAATAATAACAGTTAAAAAGTGGAATATAATACAACGGTATGTTTAAAACGATCACCATATCCTTCTGTACACAGAGACTGGGTTTATAAATTCTGCTTGGGCAGGCATGTTTCTGTTTGTCTAATGACCGACAGTGAATGACTTGATAGCGTTAAGTTCTCTTTGGAACTTTTGATGTCTCGACTTAAGATTTTTTCAACCACCTGGGCGAATATCCCATCAGGCGAGTAAACAGTTATATCCTAAGATCCTATTATTTTTGAAGACGCTCCGAATCGATAACCACTAAGCACAGATATCGACTTTAATTCCAAGACACACATGGATGACAAGAAATAGTATTCTTCAATTTCATACAAGGATTCCCTTTATTTTATAAATTTGAACAAAGAAAGAAGAAACATTGGCGCAGAATAATCTGGATCCATTTTATTTCGTCGGTTCTCATTAGCTGTGAGTCAAGCTTGACTCTCTTAAGAGATAATTTTTCTTGATCTTCTAAGTTCTCCTCACTGTATTACATCTTGAACTTCTCATCTGACCTCATGTGCACCGGAATTTTGATCTTCCCTTAAAATTGTACACTTTTTATTTTATTATAGAATTCAGGTTGTACGCAGCTGATGAGAACCGACGAAATAAAATGGATCCAGATTATTCTGCGCTAATGTTTCTTCTTCTTTCTTTATTCTTCAATTGTTAAAATCGATTTTTTGTACTAACTCCAAAAACAAATATTTTTACAAAGTAATGTAATACGCTGTACTTTTATTCGTATTCTTTCGTCTTCTTCTAACTTGTACACGATCGAATCACTCGTGCCTTCAAGTTGCCCGCCAATGGCGACCAAGGCCAATGAACACACGTTCAATGTCCATAATCCTTGACAACCTGCTTAATGGTGTTAAGGAATATGAGCTTTTAAGCATAACAAGTTGTTCTTATGGCTTAATGGAATATATATATATATATATATATATATATATATATATATATATAAAGTAGTATGTGTCCCCATGTACCTCCCATAGTATAGATATCATTGTATGTAGAGTATTAGGCTGATGAGTAGTTCTACTGAATTTGTTAAATCCTGCTTTATTATCAACATTTGTTGCTTGTTTTATATTACGTAACTGTACTTTACATTTTCACTTTGAGGCTGATGGTAAAATTTCTTCACTCTGGAAATGCAACATCCATTTTGTTTATTGTGGTAAAGATTTCATAGTTGTCTACGATAGTTCAGGATAACTTAAAACGTAGTACTTGTGAATGACATTGAATTGTATCTCCTCAAGCACATATCACAATTAAGTACTCTTACGAATAGCGCGTTTCCTACCGTTTCGAATACTATTGCATGTTCACAGTAATTGTATTTTGTATTTGCTTAGATGCAGTTACCAAGGTACCAGTACTGAATAATCCAACTAGTCATCCTGATGACAATACAACACCTCTTCCAAATACCATCGTCAACCAATCGGCAAAGGAGTCTAGAAAGTTGAAATCCACTTCTTCAAAAGTCAGCAGTACTATCTGTGATATATGCTCTGTAGATTTTAATTCAAGAAATGCACTTTTCAATCATCTTCGTGAATCTGGACATGCAAGATTGAAATCCACTGTCAATACTGTACAGAATTCAAATGATGAAAGTAAGAAAACAAAGTGTAAGGGAAAATCAAAGCATAAACATTGACTAACGATAATGCTGCATGCCTTCGTTGTAATTAATTAACTATTTCATTAAGCGAATAATTTTTGTGAGTGGATGAATTTGTATATATTGATCACCTAGCTACTGTGTTGTTACGTTTTCTTAAATTGTTTTCTGATTATAGTGGGACTTTAATAATTGATTTCTAGGTAGGTTTTGTTACCTCCTGATGCCAGCACTAGACAATAATTTCACTACAGGATCATACTTTTCGACTACATCCATCTAAAATTCATCAAGAAGTGTAGCCTGGATTACGTTAAACCGTGTTGTCACCCAGTCATCTGATTGCAGTATGACTTCTTGACAGGAAGCGATTAAAATCTTCACCAACAGAAAGTTTCAATATCATTATTATTATATTATTGTTTCCTTTAATTCCTAGAGGAATATAGGGCTTCAGCCGTGCGTCTCCATTGCGTTCAGTTCTCTGCTAGAGTTTTCACCTGGCTCCAAGTCTGCCCACACGTTTTCATCTCCTCTTCACATGACCTCCTCCAAGTCAACCTCGCACTGACGACCGACTCGCCACTTCCCTTTCGGGTTCCACTCGAGCAATGGCTTGTCTGGTGATGTCATTTGATAGTTTGTTTTCTCAGAGTATGACCAATCCATCTCCATTTCTACCTGCCTATTTGTTGCACAATCGGTTCCTAGTTGGTTCGCTCCCAGAGATCCCTCTCTGTTGCTGATCTTTTCTGGCCATCTGATCTTGAGTATTGAGCGAAGACAGCTGTTGATGAAAGTCTGTAGTTTGTTTGAGGTGCTCTTTATGACGCACCAACTCTTTGATCCGTGTAGTAACGCTGACTTCACATTGGAGTTGAAAATCCGAATCTTATTTTTGATGATGAGTGCTGTTGACCTCCACACAGACTTCAAAGTAGTGAAAGGTTATATATGTGTGCATATATATATATAAGCAATATATACACATATATTTAGACTACGAGTAATGAATTCATCTTGACCATTGAGAACGATTTTGAGCCATATCACTAACAACAGTCTCAAGCCATTGGTTCTCAGCATTCGAAGTCTCTTCAACTAGGCAGCCTATCCTTCTCTACATGGCTGGTTTATGGATTGACGCCAGCTTTTAATGTGACCAATCTCATTCAATGTCATCTGAGATCGCTCGTCGAAGAAGGTGTTGCATACATCTAGGGTCCAAGACTGCCAGACTCATCATATCTCCTATTTCCGCCTCCGATGTTTATGTCATAAAGTGTTGCTCAACAATTTAAGTACATATTAACACACTTAGCAATAAGTATGTGGGCTGGTGATACCAGTGGACTACTCGAAGGTCGAAGACCTAATCTGATGTGAAATACACCGCTTAACCTGTATTCCCAGATTATGCATTTTCCCCTTCCAGTTCTTCTTCAATGTGAGTAGCCTTTGCATCCTTGGGGTGGGATTTCATGTCCATATGCTTACTTTTGCTTTGATAGGAACAAGACATACTGGTTGAATGACTTCCCAATACTTCTCACTAGCCTACACCTTTCTCCCTCTCCTATTCTTGCTAACCATAAGTGTATTTTTTCTGCATTGTAAAGTTTCATTGGCATCTTGACGGCTTTTTATGGATGGGATTGTTTGTCCGACTCTCAGCTTTCCCTACTTTGCAGGCTTAGGGCTGCCAAGCAAACTACCTAACATTCTACTGCTCAATCAACAGGCAGAAAGAAAATAGGGATAGACCAGATATAAGCTGAGGTAACCGTTGATTCACATAATACGCCAGGCGTCTGAATGAAGAGAGATGAGTTTGGTGTCTTAAGGATGATGTAGAGCGGATCACGTGAAGAGGAAATGTGGACAGTCTTAGAGCTGGTCTAACATGATCACCCAAATCTGATTGGAATAGAGATATCGGGTGAAAACCAGCTACTGCGGTATTTTAGAAATGACGCTGGTGACGCAAGCGCCAAGTCTCTGAACTGTAGTCAGGCAGTGAAATAACATTAATTCCCATATTAGTCATTGTAAGATAAAGTGATATTTCAGTTTTACCTGTATTATGACCATATTTTAATTCTTTCGAGCAGTTAATACTAACAACCACCTCCTGCTTTGCACTATTAAATAGCCAATGTTCACAGTGATCTTGCTTGCTGAAATCATTTTAATACTAATTACCAGGCTAGCTGCACAATCGTCACATTTTAATGCTACTTTCTCTACTCTTACCCTGGTAAAAGAGTCTCACGTTAGGATGAAACACTCGTCGAGTGTCTCTTGCTTTACAGCATTTCTCAGTTCATGACAAAATCCACCTTGACGTTAACCAAACTCCGTTGAATTTAACATTGAAATTTTACAGGTTGCCCGGAGTTTTCTTCGGACGTTTGAATATCATTTCAGTATATAATAATTAATAAAATAACAGTGTGATTTAGAATCATAGGGCAATGAACGTATCATTTACCCGGAACACATTTTCTAACATACTAACAGACTATGAATCCCAAGTGTGAGTGTGTGTGATACCTGACCATACTAACGAGGTTGGGACAGAATCCGGATACGGGACCCACTGACCAAATTGCTGGTACTTGAGTTAGTGAACCTGTTTACTCAGTAAACATTTACCTTTCTTGTTTAGTTGCGCCCTCATCATTCATTCACCTCATTAAGTCTGACAGACTGACTAAGTGAATTTCACCATAGGACTTTACACAGAAGTACACTAGTTCATTTGGCCACACTTCATATTGGACATAAAGGTAGGAAGATATAGAATTTTTTATCAAAGAATTGTAATGGACAGCAATACACGAGGGAAACAATAGTAACATGTAGAAATGACATGTGATCTAGCTTCCGATATCATTAAAAGAAGGATTTCACAGTCCCTGAAAAGAACAATCCCTACTGCATCTTTACCAGTCGACTTTAACTGTTCAATAACCTGAAGGACAAGATCCCTCAGTTGACCAACTCTGTGTTCGTTTACCAGTCCACCTGCTCGTGTGGAGCTAGGTATATCGGTCGTTCGACTCGAGTTTTGTTCAAGAGGTTGCAAGAACACTATTCTGCATGGTAGTTACGAAGACGTAGAAGTGGAGCAATAAGAAGCTCGATCACTGAACATCTGGTCGATAATGATCGCCCTATCTCTATAGTCTTCGCTTTTAAAGTCATTTACAAGGCGAAAAGTAGTCTACCGAAATCAATATATACCGGACTGATCTGTATCGCTGAAGCCTTGGCTATCGAAATAGAAAAGCCAGATCTGTCTATACAGAAAAAAAATGGGTTCAACCCCTTCAGCTTTCGTGGTGTCAATCCCTCCATACTAAAGTGTTGTAATCCCTAATCATATTTTGGCTCTACTAATCTTTTTTCGTTTTGCTTATTCAATTTGTATACTCTTCCTTCATGACGTCAATCGTTCTCCTCACTTTTAACAGTCCCCTGTATTAATTCACTCGTTCCACTTGTCATTCTAAATCATTTCCGTTTTGCAACGTTAAACTCTATACTATCAGATATGGAAGATCACAAAGACTTTAAGCCATATCACTAATAGTGTCAAGCTATCGGTTCCTACTATCTCAAGAATCCCAATCAGAGACAAGCTACACCTCCCTAGGTGACTGGCTGAAACCAACAACAGTCCAACACTTCATGGACTGACACCATTATTTTGATTTGACCCCACTTCAAACTTTTCTTTTCCGAGCTAATCCTATATCAGTTAACATTGGGTAGGGTGGTGACCAGTAAGTGTATGCCTCTCTCTGTCTGTTTTTGACATAGAACTTTGCTCATACATGTACGGCAGTTCAAGTCGCCACACTCCATGTAACACACAAAGCAAGAGAAGAAAGTAGGAGAAATGCATAATATAGACAGTAAACAGAGGTGTGAGACAAAGGTATAGTAATAACGAAGAACAAAACAGTTTCATTGGAAATCATAAGTCACAAGGAGTGGATGCATCTGCGCTATTGCGAACGATTTTGGGCCATGTCACCAATTGTTTCCAACCATTGGTTTTTACCGTCTCGAGGACCCCAACCAGGAAGTCTACACCTTCCTACATGGCTAAGACTAATTGTTGTAGACTTCATTGACTGGTGCCATGTTTTCGTTTGACCGCCGCTAGCTCTTTTCCAGCCTGGCCCTATATCAGCTAACATTGTCCGTCGAGGAAGGCGATGACTAGGCATACATAAAACATGTCCTAGCCATCTCAGTCGATGTAATTTCACAGTTTCGTCGATTGATTTCCCCTCCTTACCTAGCACTCGACTGATGCCTAACCTCAATATTGCTCACCTTATTATACCACTTCACACGGGAGATAGAACGCAGACACTTATGATCAAAGACAGCTAATCTTTTCATGTCTTCCGCTCTCAATGGCCAGGTCTCACAGCTAGCCATAAAGGATGACGGAGCGGACTGATGAGCAGTACACACGCCCTTTGGTCGATAGCCAGTCGGATATCACGTCTACTAAGCCAGAGATGGCGTAAACCGGCATATGTGAAACTAGCCCTCTGTATTCGTGCTGAGATTATTAAGTGTAAGTAAGACGATAGAGGATTGCAGGGATGATGAAATGCGCCGTTAATGAGTGTGAGTGAATCAACTACCTGTTTAATTTCTCTGTATTTCGATTTGTCTAATTGCATCATTATGCCCTACATGTGTGTTTCATCAGTGTTGATGACATTTTGTGTTTTTTGTTGCATATTTTTGAAGTGTGCATAACGTGTGTTATGATTAGTGCGTTAATTAGTTAGGTTAAGTAAAACTGCCAAAAGCTTAGAGTAATATAGCGTAAGACGACTAGCTGATGGCGTATTCTGCACACTCTTTGTTCACAAATCTCCCCTATGCACACACACTTCCTTCCCTACATGATATAAGCAGGTAGGTATGCGCGCTTAGTCTTTCATAACCGCCAAGAAGAGAGAGAGAGAGAAAGATAGAGGAAACCTTCCCTCCTTCTTCTTGTTTTTATTTGACTTTTTTACTGACAGTTAATATCAAAATATGAAAATTTTAAACGAAAATAAAACAGGTAAATTTCTGTTTATACATTTGAAATACTTTTTGTTA